TTGACTTTTAAACTTAGTTTAGTTTTTGTCGAGCGTGCGACTTTTGTCGCAGAAAGCTCGACATAGGGATAGTGAACCGGCGGCGGCGTTAACTAACTTCCTAAAAGCTTAATATTTCAGAAGGTAGAAGTCCTTGATGCTTCATAGATATAGGAAGATGTGGTATGAGTGCCAATGAGACAAATCTCCATCCAAGTAACAATTTATAAAAGTAAACCATTATAGGTCAAGGTACGGCCTTCAACACGGAGCATTGGCTTACACCGAACAGCAAGCTATAAAGGGCCCCCAAAATTACTAGTGTAAAACCATTCAAACGAGAAACACGTATGAACTACATACGCTGTATATAGATGCCTTATGATATGAAGTTTCCGTCTGTCATATGTCCACTGTCCTTGACCTCATTTTCATGGTTCAGTGACTACTGGAAAAAAAGTTAAAATTTTTGTAATGTTAATTTCTCTCTTATGAGTAATAGGATAACTATATTTGGTATGTGCGTACCTTGCAAGATCCCCATGCCTTTTAGACAAGGCCATATCTCAGATACTATAAGCAATAGGTCTACTATATTTGGTGTATGTAATGATTGTAAGGTGTATATGTCCAACCGGTGTCATCTGACCTTGACCTCATTTTCATGGTTCAGTGGTCACACTTAAATTTTTGTGTTTTGGTCTGTTTTTCTAATACTGTATGCAGTAGGTCAACTCTATCTGGTGTATGGAAATATTTTACGATGTACATGGCAGTCTGGCAGATTTTATTTGACCTTGACCGCATTTTCACGGTTTTATTGCTCAATGTTAAGTTTTTGTGTTTTGGTCTGTTTTTTTTAAACTTTAAACAATAGGTCAACTATATTTGGTGTATGGAATGATTGTGAGGTGTATATGTCTGTCTGGCAGGTATCATCTGACCTTCACCTCATTTTCATGGTTGATTGATCAATGTTCAGTTTTCCTGGTTAACTTTGTTTCTTAGATACTATAAGCAATATGTCAACTATATTTGATGCATGGACTGATTTTACGGTTTACATGTCTGTCTGGCAGGGTTCATCTGACTTTGACTTCGTTTTCATGGTTCATTGGTCAGTTTAGAATTTCCATGGTTTGGTCTGTTTCTTTTATACTATACGCAATATGTCATCTGTATTCTGTGTATGGAATGATTGTATTAAAGGTGTACATGTACCTCCGGCTTGGTTTATCTGACCTTGACCTCATTTTCTTGGATCATAAATTTTAATGTGATACTTGTAGTAAAACTTTATATGTAGGACTATCAACATAAAATCAATGGTCAGTATAGATGTATTAGTTTGTGATTAGGTCAGTTAATGGGGAACTACTAGTGTTAGGTCAATGATATTTGGTATGCAGTTGTATCAGCATTGGCATAACTCATTTCCATGGAGATATTTTGGCCCCGCCACCTCAGTCATGGTCTATTGACTTTGAAACTTGTGCTTAGTTTTCATGTATTAGTTTGTGATTAAGTCAGTTTAATTTGAACCACTAATGTTAAGTCAGTGATATTTGGTATGCAAATGTATTGGCATTTATAAGTTTCATTCCATGGAGATTATATAACCCCACCCCCTCATTATGGTTCATTGACATTGAAACTTTTACATAGTTTACAAGTTAATGTTTGTGTTTAGGTTTGTTTAAAGGGAACGACTTGTGAAAAGTCAATGGTATTTGGTATGCAGTTGTATTAACATTGGCAAAAGATAAAAATACAAGTTAACAAATAGTTGATATGCATGTCCATATATTCAATTTCGACATCACTGTTTGTTTCTTAGTCGAATATTAAGGAAATGACGCTTATAATTTAATATTCGATTTAACAGCATTAAGGAACATGAGTGTAATATCGTTAAGATATTCACATGACGACGTGTAATGAGTTCTGTTTAACTTTGTTACTTTTACTTTCATTATTGTAGTTAAATTTATTGATTTCGCTGTATACTTTCGGAAAATATCTATTGGTGTTGATCTAATTTTAACTCTATTTCCTGCATGAATGCCCTTAACTTTTTTATCTTTGATTTGATAATAATATTTGGCATGCGCATTGTCAATTTACTTCCTTTTTTGTGATAACTTTATTCAAGGTAGGACATTATATAAATAACACATAGCTATCACCCTCTCAGCTATGTGTTATTTACTTTATTATACTGAATGTTCTGTTACTACTGTCTATTAAATTTCAAAGTAATAAACTTTATAAATAATAAATTACGTCTTGTACATAACAACCACCCAGTAAATCGCACAATTGATCAAGCGTCTCCGTGAAGGGTAATAGAGTCTTTGCCATGGGAAAGAGTAAATTGTCTCCCTCGTATTGACCAATCAGAATCCTGCATTTTCACATGAAGTATAATAATTTTTAACTAAATCCATGTTTGATACGACATGTGTCAAATGAGAATATCACATTCCATAAATTTATTTATTGTCAATTTGAAATTGAATGTTTGAAAGTTATACTTATAAAACTCTTCAAGTGATAATACTATTAAGAAAAGTTCAACTATTTTGACTTTCACGTTTGATACAAGATGTAACACGAAATAATGGTGTGAATTGTACCTAAAGAGAACTTTTTCACACGTTTTGAACATATTATTATTTTATTTCGGGTTGGAGCCCGTCAATTAAAAAAACATAAAATAGTATCTTTGTTCTTTTTCTTTATTACTTAAATAATGGAATACCTTTTTAAACAAAAGAAGAGAAACAGTATCAATCTCAACGACTTTCTTTTTATTTCATGATAAATACTGATAATTAATCAGTTTCAAATCCCTTACTGACAAACATCAGTCTGTAGCAAACATTCAATGTACATTTACAGCAAGCTCACAGAAAGGCCAATGAATAATTGATGAAGCACGGATATTTGATATATGTCTTACATTGGTCAAATCACTGCCTTTACTGTTTGAATGTTATTGTGTACTTTCTACTTTTCCTTTCATTTCTGTTCACGATCAGTTATCAGTAAATAAAGGTGAACACTATCTACAAATTTAAATAGACATGTTCAATATAAGTGACAACTACGGTGTACAGGTTAAACGAAGAGTCGTATCAATAAAAATCATTCAAGATTACCATAACATATATTCATATTAATTTTAACGGTATTATACTTTTTTTCAATGAACGAATAACGAGTAAATGCCTCTTTCATATTTTTTTTTTATCTTTTCTCTTATAATTTACTGATACAAATATGTATTTGCAATTATTTTATATTGAAGTATACCTTCAAGTAAAAATGCTATTAATTCACACCAACAGATTTATTTTACAATTATCCGATCACAAATATACTAAGATGTGTGATTGCTCCATGGAAGACTGCACTGCTTTCTCAAAGCGAAAAACTACTTTTTGAAGGCCTCTTAAAATTTATCGATCCTACTTTTCCATCGAATCAAAGTGCATATTGTAACGGAGCTATCCATGCGTCGTTCGTTACAAACTTGTGGACAATGTAGAGCTTGTTTCTTTTCAAATGATTTCATCAACACTTGGTATTCTCAATTTTCAGTGTAGTTAGGTCTAGTAAGTCATGGATTTTAAAGTTAAAAGGTCAAATGTTGATACACGCACATGTGTTTATAGACAACGCCGACTTTTTTTATCATCATAACAAAGCCCAAAATGTTCATATCGATGCAGCAAATTTGTAAAACTGGTCCGCTGTATTTCCGAGAAGACTTTTTATAAGTTAAGACTATTTACAACCTCTCATGAAAGCCAGGAAATATAACCAGAAAAAAATGAAAATATAGCCATATTCCCGCAGAGTACTGTATTCATGTTAAATATCAAAGATGACGACTTTTTGATATTCCGCGCTTGAGGTTGGGGGTAAGGAGGTTCTTGCGGATAATATATCATTTTCACCTGTAACAAGGCTTGCTTATTTATTATCACTCCTCTACAAAATTATTTTTTGCATTGTGTAGGGCAGAATATACATTCTTGCCCTTTTCCTGAACTTTCAATTGTACGGAAATATCTTTGAATTTACGAATGATAATGTTTTTTGTACTTCAATTGAAAAAAAATTAATGTTGTAAATTTTCAGTATTGTTCACTGTTTGAAAAAGATATCATCTTCCCTTTGAACGTCTCATTTTACGCATACTTCCGTACATACAGTATTGTGAATTCATTTCAATTGGAATTATTTTATTTCATTATCAATGCTAGTTTTTTTTCCAGATTTCCCCAAACTGTTTAGGATTTATGTGTTTTTGAAAAAAAAAATATTTATAGGTTGCATTCTGTGTAAATTATACAATTAACTTTCTTTACGTGTAAAATGATATTAAAGTCATCCTGATAATTTATTTTGATTTTGATAAATGTATCAAACTGTATTTATACTGATAAAATTCCCCTTCTGTATTTATAGTAGATTTTCCCTAATTATTACCCGATTTATCCTTTTCCTGGCCTGTTGATTATTTTGTTAATCAACATGGGATTCGTTTGATCTCAATTCTTTATTGGTCAAAATTCAATTATGACGTCAAATATTTTTGCTTACTTCTGAATTTCCTCTTGTGACTTCAAGAAAAATGGCGTCAATGACTGATGACGTTACAAAGAAAGAAAACGTCTTTTTTGCAGATCATTGGAAAAGAAGGCATATAGTCTGAAAATTATTAGAAAAAAAGATTTTACCACAGATTCTCGTGAAATACGATATTTCTTCACTCTCGACAGTTAAATTTTAAATATTTAAAACGCCCGGCGAGCCTCGCGTTTTAAATTTGAAAATTTAACTGTCTCGAGTGGTGAAATATCGTATCACAATCGATGCAACGGTAGAATATATATATATATATATATATATATCTGGGGACCTGGTTTGAAATAAAGCAAAATATCTTTGACTATTTAAGTATCTTCCCAAATGAGGCTTTTTGTGCGTAATTATCGAATATTTTCAGATAAATCATGGCTGTCTATGTGGCTGCCATAGACTTTGGGACTACATATTCAGGGTATGCATTTTCTGTGAGTTCACCTAACACTGAGCTGAAGAATGTAGAGATATTATCCAATCAGGTATGGAATTCTGGAACAGCAGAAGTTGCATCGTTAAAGACACCAACTTGCCTACTGCTCACGAAAGAACGTGACCTGGTAGCTTTCGGGTATGAAGCAGAGGAACAGTATGCAGATATTGTAATGGATGGTCATGCTGATGATTACTACTTCTTTCATAGATTTAAAATGAATCTTCATAATAATCAGGTAATTAAAACGGGATAGTATCGTGAATAAAATATAGATAAATATATCAGCAATTCAGAAATTAAGTACATACATGTATCACTGGGATATTATTGTGAATATGATATAGACAGATATATCAGCAGTTAGGAAAATAAGTACATACATGTACCACTGGGACAGTATGGTATATCATTAGTTGCACAGTGTGCTATTGATCTAATACGATGTATACGGGGTCAATAAATGTCATATGGAGTGAGAGCAAATACGATATATACGGAATTTACTTTATATCGTATTTGGCCACAAACACACTGCGTAACGAATTTATCTTGCAGACTATCATGTAGAATTTAGACTAGTTGCCTATTAAAGAGATCAAGTCTTCATTGTTCACAAAAAACAAATGCCAACAATACCAATTTGGTGGATTTTAGTGTGTTTTCTGCATTTATTTACAATCGATTATCAGTTTCTTCATCTGTTGTCTAGGAAAACGGTTCAGATTTTTCTTTAACGTCATGTTGTTTATAAAAAAGAGGGACAGTCAAACTCATAGATCGAAAACAAACTGACAACGCCATGGCCAAAAATACAAAGACAAACAGACAAATAATAATACAATATAGAAAACTAAAGACTAAGCAACACGAACCCCACCAAAAACGGGGGGTGATCTCAGGTGCTCCGGAAGGGTAAAGGGACATAACACTGTTACTAACCGTGTATTAAAGTGAAACACGCCTACTGACCCAATATTAAATATAAACGGTCTCCACGTGATCGCTTTTAACTAATGATATTGCTAGAAATGTATAGGAGGTAAGATAAATATAATTATATCAGCAATTAAGTTGCCGATCTATTAGACTAGTATTTTGGATACAGTTGGCACTCGTTAATTCAAATCAACACAAATTTTCCGTTTTAAATTATACTCTGAGTTCAGTATTTTTGTGATTTAACTTTTTCGTTTAATATACGCGCTTATATAGCTAATCTGTTAAGTTAAACTGCCCCCTCCCCCTTTTTCCCCCTCCCTCCGTTTTTGAGGTAGCAAGAGTAATGATTTCCTATTCTGGTATATGATTTATAACGACAAGAAAAAATATTGACAATTGAAGCTGACAGTATTGTACAGTTATGTATTACATGATATAAGGTACCAAAAATACTTGATATGCACCAACACACAATATAGTACCTGTAGCCTCATATCGTAAATATTTAATGTAAAAAAATCGTTCTGAGGTACCAGCAGTAATGATTACGATTATTGGTATATGACTGCCAAAAAAATAGTCAACCTTATGGTTACTGAACTAATTTATTGAGCAATACGATATGTCTGTTGCGCACAACACGAGAAACTTATTCAAAGTCGTAGAATACAGCAACCGACAGTGATTACGTCTACTTTCCTATCATGATATTGTTTGCTAAATCTGGATTCGCTTGACAAATGAAGCATGTTTAACAGAGATTCATAACATGTTGACGCACCAGGTTTCGCTCCGGTCGACTTCCCAAGGGTGAATGGGGAAAAGAAATATGGTCACTTTTGGTCACGTCCGGCAGTGAAACCCTTGCCAAGATGGGGCGTCCGTTTGGATGTGCGGTATTTACAAGTACTCAACCACGTCCGGTCAATATGTGGACGTTAAATCCGATGCCTCTTGTAAAGAGAGTGCAACGCTAACTGTACGTTAAAACCCTTGCAACAACTCTTTGATGGGTCCTTAGGTGGCCAGTTGCAAGGCTAAATTTCTGTCCCTATCCAACATATCCCATTTGACACTGGCAGTCTAAATTTCCCCGATCTAATATGGACGGCCTCTATTTTTGGACCTACCTATTGTACTTATTGTTAATTTGTTCTACTCGTTCTGAACATGCATGAAATATTGCCAATGGACCTGAGGCAACAAACAATCAACCAATCAACCAATCCCTCCTGTCGAAGTTCTTGTTATTCTTGGTTAGAATTATTTTCAAAATAGATATCCTGTCAACCACAATTTAGATTAGTTATTAGCACGAATTTTATGAGAATTAAACAGATATATAACATAGTTTTATTATATCATATTTTATCTCCTAGAATAAAAACGAACCCTCAATAGTTACAGTATATTTTGAGAAAGAAATCAGGTTCACTTACTGTAAACTCGGAAAATTTTGCGATATTTTGCTTGTTTATGAAATTGCGACGAAATAGGTTTTGCAAAAGTTTAATTCTCATTTTAAATCTTCATTGCAATGTTCGTTTGCAGATAACTGAAATAGTAATAATTTATTTCTATTTTTTTGTCTTTTTATCCACAAAAAAAACGCAAAAATATGCACAACTCTCTGAGTTTATATTTCAAAATATGCATGTGGTGCAGTAAAATTGATACGTTAATTTTATTAAAGTATTTTGCAATTTAAATGTTGTTGATACTGATCTCTTGCGTACATCTTAAAAACTTTTTCGATGTAATTCATAGAATCTGCATAAAAATGCCAAATATTTTGTTTATTGACTTCGTATTTTTGTTTTAAGAAAATAGACTCTTTTTACAGAATATAAGAATGAGTATGGTTCTTGAAGATGTGAGAGGAAAACCACTACCTGCCATTGACGTGTTTTCTTTATCGATTCAAGCCTTAAAATGTCACCTACACAGTTCTATTGAAGTAAAGAACATAGAATTTGACAAAAGGCAGACGAAATGGGTACTTACCGTTCCTGCCATTTGGACAGACACAGCTAAGCAGTTCATGAGGAAAAGTGCTGAAAAGGTAATTAATTCATTATTAATTTTAAATAGTTGTTTTGGCTTTCGTACTTTTTTTATCTGAGCGTCACTGGTTAGTCTTGTGTGGACGAAACGCGCGTCTTGCGTATTAAATTTTAAACCTGGTACCTTTTGTTAGCTATTATTCGTATGTTTCTCTGTCTTTTATATTCTCCCATTTATTTGTATTGTAGTCCTGTCTTGTAATGTTATCATTTTAATGTTATATTTAACATTGCCATTAAAGCGGGAGGTTTGGCTAGCCACAAAACCAGGTTCAACCCACCATTTTTTCTTAAAATGTCCTGTACCAAGTCAGGAAAATGACCATTGTTATATTATAGTTCGTTTCTGTGTGTGTTACATTTAAATGTTGTGTTTCTGTTGTGTCGCAGTTCTCCTCTTATATTTGATGTGTTTCCCTCAGTTTTAGATTTGTAACCCGGATTTGTTTTTTCTCAATCGATTTATGAATTTCAAACAGCGGTATACTACTGTTGCCTTTATTTGAAAGTTTCTTTCACAGTTATAATTTTGTGTTTATCAATATATGCAGCAATATATACCATTTTATTTAGCAGATACTGAATTCCAGACACGCCTGTATATGTTGATATTTCCATTTGTAGACTTATGTTAATATATCGATTGCTATATTAGTTAAACAAAAGATGTTTGTTAATAATGATGGGTTTTATTTGGTTAGAGGCATACGACAAAATTAATGTATTATACGTTTCACTCTCAGTTTTATCAGGAAAAAATGTCCCCAATGTCAGATATTTTATAATTTATGGAAGATGGTTACTAAAGTTCAACATCAACTTATTTTGTCACAAATTTTCTGAATGATCGTGAAATTTTGATTAGTATGGTTGGTGATGCGTGCTGACCTTTTCGAAGCACCCGATTTCGCTATTTTTTGAGTTCATGCGATTCTTTTATTTTCTGTTGCGGTTGATTTTTTTTCAAAATCGATTTATGAGATTTGATCATCGGTGACCTGCTGTTACTTAAATTTCTACATACTATATCATATTAAAAAATAGCTTTAGCAAACTGTTAACAACGCATAAAAGTAATTCGTTCAAATTTAGTTTTATTCTTTTAGTATATTAGTCATTAAGTTCGTATATTCAATGTATCAATTGTTTTTCACAGCACCATATACTATTTCCCCCGATAGATTGCTATCCTTGTCGTGGTCGAGGGGCTTATGTGTCTCAGTGACCCTAAGAGCTATCCCAGCTGGAGCGTCGTCTCCTGTTAGGGTCACCCATGCTGGACATGTCGAAGGGTAGAGGCCAGACTAAAGTCATCCGAACATCGTACGAGTTGCCCGATCTCTAAAATAAAATAAGCATTCCAACCCATTTGCCGTGGTTTGTTACCCGTGTCGGTGGTTGACGAGATCCTTGCGTGTGAGGTCTGTAGCCGGACTCCATACGGTCAGAAAAATACCCGGACGGACGAGACTATAGTTCAATAGGTTGATTTGGCTCCGATATCACCCAAACGAGAGGTCGGATGGACACAATCCGATCAATCGGCTGGTCATGTCGAGCCCTTCAGTTTATCCACAACAATAAGCTTTCTTATAACAATGTTCATTATATACACATGCATTTAAATTAAGCTAATTATATTTAAGATAACTGAAGAAGGCGATGGCTCATGGGTCAATCAAGTGGTAGGCTTTCTATTTCGCTTGATGGATACGCTCTGCTTGATATAAATAAGAAGATGTGGTATGAGTGCCAATGAGACAACTCTCCATCCAAGTCACAATGTATAAAAAAGTAAACAACTATATGTCAAAGTACAGCATTCAACACGGAGCATTGGCCCTCACCGAACAGCACGCTCACATGCAAACAACCCATAATTGTAAAATATAAGGGCAGACTCCACAAGCACGGGGACACATTCTACTGCAACCACACAGCACGAGCAACAAACCCTGCAGTAAACTATACTATTCTTGTAACATCTGGTGCTTTCCGCAGTGGATCTTTGGTGCTTATTTTGGGGAGAGCTACATTATACTTGGAGCTCGTTTTCAGCATTAGCACTTGGCCCCGGTTCGTTACGGAAACACAGCATCGCCCTTGTAGGCACTCCGAGGTGGTTGGATGACACGAATAGTGAATCTTTTTCATTTCCTATGGCACACCAAAACCAATCCCTAGCAATCAGCTTTAATAAATGAAAAAAGAAAATGTGATGACTCGGCTCCCTGTCCGGAAAATGACAGTTGGCCCCGATTTAGAGTAATTAAGGTAGCAATACACAGTTAGGAAAAAAACTTAAAATTGACACTCATAATTTTTAACCACCCTTTTTCCATTGCTTTCTAACAAATAAGGCTTTATATTTGTATTATGCATGTGTATATTTATGGAAAGAGCATCTTCTATAGATTTGATTTTCAATAGTTATAATGGTGAAATATAATCTTTTTGGTGTAACCATGGCAACAATCTGAATTTATTTGATACAAAATATGGAAAAAGGGGGGTGAAAATGTAATAAAAGTCCCCAAAATTTGGTCCAAAGGAAAATTTCAATCCATTAGAGGGATGCCTTTCCTGAAACCATAGACATTTATTTATCAACAGGTCAAAAAGAAAATCATTTTTTGCTCATTTTTCTATAAAATTGAATTGAAAAGTTCGAGGGTAAAAAAACACTACAATAATTTCTGGACCTATGGGCGGTACGGATGTGAATACGGACTGTTAAACAGAAAAGCATGACCTTTAAAACATGCAAAAAACAATCTTGATGTTCATATAAACCCACTTGGAAGGCTATATTATTCTTCAACTAATAAAAAAAAAATTTATTGTACAAAAACTTTCATATTTAAAAAAATCATAATTATAGCCAAAATGCGAAACTGAACTTCTAACTGTGTATTGCTACCTAAAGGTACAGATGAAAAATCTATTTCAAATATATCCTTTTGTGCTTTACAAACAAATCCCAAGGACTGCTGGCACTGTGAAAAAACATTCTAAGATGAGATCAGGTAATTTGTTGGTTGGATGTTCCAACAAAAGTCAATCAACAAATTTGCTGACAATGAAAACAATTATACACTTTACTGTATCTGCCTCTCCTCACAATAGTTTGAACAGTAGTAAAGGAATCATTCGAGACAGAAGTCAATATCTGGCTGACCTTACTGTGGACGAAATTAAAAATGAAATTTGAAACCAAGGTGTAACTGATGATGTTAGATTTCAAATAAAAAAGAAAATATAATCAAACTTAATACTTAACTTTTGACCTTTAGAACTTCAAATCCTCCTTCATCTACTAAATGTGTAAACTGTGGTGGATCCCATTTTTCATTATTTAGGTAATGCCCCGTTTACCTTAAAGAAAAAATATAATTAAAATAAAAACAAAAACAAACATCAGTTAAACAGAAGCTAAACAGATAGCTTCTGTTTCGAATGATCTTCCAGTTGTAAACAAACCATCGTATGCCAGTAATGTTGACCGTTCATTCAGTCATGAAACTATACAAACTCGCATGACATGGCCAATTGATGCTGACACTTTTAAAATGTTGCCTGTTGAAACTGAACCTACCGGTAAAATAACAATTCCACGAAAACCAAAACCTCCTAAAACCGCTACTCAATCAACACAACCTCCGCTACAAAGTTCACAGTCATCTTCCAAAGTAGGGATTTAGGAAATCTAGTTTTAAATGTAAAAGTTACCGAAAAACCTGACAGTTTTGTTAGTGAAAACAGATAGCCCTTGAATGTTGAAAAGAAATCGCCCCCGATTAAGCCACCCAAACATCCGTCTCCACTGCGTAACTTAAACCCGAAAGTAGGCACAAAATCACCGATAAGATCATTCTCCCAGAAAGCTGAGAGGCGATCTCGTGATACACGGCGAGGTGGGAAAACATCATCTAACCACTCGAGTCAAGAAGAGAAAGTTCTCTCTTCTCAAAATAGGTTTGCTGGGTTAGAGGACTCGCAGATGGAATGATGATATTGTTCCATCAGAAAAACCACAATCACAGGAAAATCGAAAGAAAAATGCTGGAAAGCTTGATCACATTCGCCCTTCTCTTAATTCATGACCTATATTATCCAACGGAATGGCCGAGGTCTTCAAATAAATCTTCTTGAGTTAACACTTTTAGTTCAGTTCTTTTTTACCTGTTGTATTTTGTCTTTAAGAAACTCACTTAAAAGAAAGTAACTATATCTCTTTAAATTGATATTTTTTTTCTAATAAAGATGAACGTGCTGCTGGAGGATCAACAGTTCTTGTGAAGGACAACGTCATTCATAGTACGGTCCAACTCACCACTGATTTGCAGGCTGTTGCTGTTCGTTTATCCTTGGATAAAACAATTACTTTCTATTCAAGAGAGGCAAAAGATATCAGAGGGACATTCAAACTCATAAGTCAAAAATAAAGTGACAACGCCATGGCTAAAAAAGAAAAAGACAAACAGACAAACAATAGTACACAAAACACAACATAGAAGACTAAAGACTGAGCAACACGAACCCCACCAACAACTGGGGGTGATATTTTAAAATTTTGGGAGTGGAGAGAAACCTTATCCTCGGGTGTATAAATAGTTCAACTAGGATGGAATGATATTTACACCCGGCTAATTAACCAATCAGATTGAAAGATTGAAATAATTACCATTGTCCGTGTGATACGTGTTTATCATGTTTACGGCAAGTTGGAAAATTGGACTGCAACGGGACATCAATCGTATTTTGGATCGATATTGACGCAGAAACACCTAAAAGATGTATTGAAAGGATGTTTCTTTCTGCAGAGAGTGCGGCACTCTCACGAGACGAGGCATCGGATTTAGCATCCCCATAATGACCAAACGTCGCAGCGAATTAATACATCCCGAACAGCCAAATGAACGACTAACTTTGGCAATATTTTTACTGCCGAACGGAAGAACACCATTTTGCAATACCGCAGTCACTGTAGGGGTTCAAATGTTTAACAAAACAATCAGAGAGTCGGCCTGTATAAATTACGAATACACTGTAAAGAAACTACCAAAAGCTCAGAAAAGTCTTAATCTTGCGAGAAAAAAAACATTTTTGAAATATCTCTAGTCCAATTCATAATCGATGCATATAGCAAAAACGGGCTGTTGTTACCAAAGACTAAGCAAAAAGCATGGCAACAACATGTCAGCGCTTAGTTTTACGAATGAGCATAACCAATAGCATTTGATTGAATTCCGAAAGGCACCGAGATACCTAAGTGTGAATCTGAAACAATTCAACTGAAAGGCTGCGGCTTCATTTAAGTTTTTGCATTAGATAACAAAAATTTATGACAAACGACAACAACTAAACTACTGACTGCGGGCGTGCGGCAAATACAAGTATATGGTGGATAAACCTGTTTGAAAACAATTAATCTTCCCTAGGAAAGTTTTGAGACAACAAAACATTAGAACAAAACGTAAAAACTATTTTGAGAAGGTTTGAATAACCAGATCGGAAAAGAGTTAAAAAAGTGGAATACGAATTTAACAAAATGAAAAACAAAACACAAAGTTGCGATCTTAGAAATTGTTGTTACTAAGAGCTAGTTCATACCAAATTCATCTTACAAATAAACCATGTTTTCCAAGAATTAGATATTAATACGTACACCTCCATTGGATTAAGTGTAAAGACGTCATACACGTTTGAGAAACGCGTGATATTGTACAATACCTTAATATAAGTATTGTCACGATGTAGGACCATTGATGTTGATAACGGAATGGCATTGTGAATTGTCATATAGTACTGATAAAGACACTATTCACTAAATCTTACTACAGTGCGAAATTGATAACCTTTAAGATTAAGATGTATACTACAATATCTATATATATACAGACGGTCAAGGACATTTTCAAGAAACCTGTAGAATGACATTACGTCGATTTTGACAGTCAGTTCTTTAATAGAGTATCACGCATCTCAAATTGATGGATTCAAGCAATCACCTGACAATGTTGATAGTGAAACCTAAATTCCGTTTTCGTCGAAATAATTTGCACAAGAAGCTTTTTGAAAGAAACATAGAGAATAGGCGTGTTTAAGCATACCCCTGAAATGATGATGTTGATGATGATGATGATGGATTGCTACTTAACGTTCAGCGGCATATTAATATGCATATTCCGGACGGGAACATGTTAATGTGATATGAATATGAACCCTGCTTTGTACTTGACCGACACGCTGAGTCGGATTTTTTACGTGCTAATTCACAAGGTAACAGTTCGCAGGAAGACATATCATCTTACCCGGACACATTATTCTGACTCCGGGCTGGCCAGTCTTCACTCTTACTCATTAATGTCGCATGCTTAGCGGAGAAGCAGCAAATACCAATTTCAAAGTCTTTGGTTTGACCCGGCCTGGGTTTGAACCTACGTCCTCCCGCACTCGAAGCAAACACGCTACCACGAGACCACCGAGGTGGTTCCCCTGAATTGATATTATTTGAATAGAATTATACAAATGTCATATAAAGTTCCGTTTTTCACTCATGCAAGGCTGGCTTACCAGTTGCAGTGATCTATACAATCAAGGATTTGTTTTTAGAAAAATAATACATAATGCTACTGAATAACGTGTTTGATCTTTTCTCAAAAGTCCAAAGGGACTTATTTCAAATTTTAAGAACTATAGGCGTTTACCATAAGATGTAAATGTGTAATAATATTTTAAAATTCTAATTGACAATATTTCAGTCTCCTTTATGTTTCATTTTATGTGCATATATATGGTTTTTTTTATTATAACTTTTTTGCTTAATAATCGACCCTGTGGTATTAAAATCCCCAAGGGTGACTGGGGAATAGAAGTATGGTCACCATTGGTCTTCCTCCGACCGGCGGTACCTCGCCAAAGTGGGGCGTCCGTTTGGCTGTGCGGGATGTACAAATTTGCAGCCACGTCCGGTCAGAATGGGGACGTTAAATCCGATGCCTCGTATAAAGAGAGTGCTACGCTCTTTGCACGTTAAGAACCCTTGATACAACTCTTTGAGGGGTCCGTAGGTGACCTGTTGCAAGGCTAAATTTCTGTCCCTATCCAATATACTCTCATTTCCCGTGGCAGTCTAAGTTTCTCCGACCTTAATCACTTAATCTATTACAGAACTACCTATTGTATTTATTGTGAACTTGATCTCGTCCTGAATATGCATGAAAAATTTGCCACTGGACGTTAAGCAACCAACAATCAATCAATCTGTGGTATTAAAACGTGCCCATTTCTTGATGTTTGTAAAACTTAATTGCATTTTTGGCCATGATATAGCCTTTATTCACGTTCATGGCGTTAGGCACTCATCGATATAATCAATAAATCATAACAGAATAAAGGAGAGCATATTTTTTGACAGGCTGGAATACCAAGAGATAATTTAACTATTGCCCTTGAACCAGAAGCGGCATCAATATATTGTCAGACGTTCCCGTCTCCTGGTTGCCAAGAAATCGCTGAAATTGGATCAAGATATATGGTCGTGGATCTTGGGGGTAAGTTATATGGATGGACACAAAGTCCTTTCGAACAGTTCAAGTGATTAAATCAAGCTATATCGTTATATTAAGAATTAGATATAACGGCAAAAAATGGGCACTTGCGATTTGTTAAACCTATGCCATAAATAGCCTCTGCATTAAAGTCATGGGCAAAATTTAAGCAAGGTGTACTGAGAAATCAATAATATCCCACAAAGATATAAATATTTTTTTTCTATTTCAGGAAGATAGTCGTAAAGTGAATTATAGAGAACAATAGTGAACATACAAAGGGTGCATTCACGATCCTAAGTCGAAACACCTGACACACCATAAACAGTAAAACATAATTTAAAATTAAAGTTTTCTGATATGCATACAGCACCCACCATGCGAATCCAGACTTAAGGTGGTACATAACACTACAGGGAGATAACTTTGTAAAAGTCAGATGAACGTTTTAATCACGTTCTATTGTTAAGGAAATATTAAGCTTCTCAATGATCAAAATAAGTGTTTGTCAAACTGCTGTATATCCAATGAAATTTTCTAGATAAAGTGTTTGGTTCAAATTTTTTGAAATTTTTATATTTTTGTCAACAAGTCAAAGTAAATATTTTATGAAAATTAAACGAGCCAAATTAATTTTAGTCAAGGTGTTTGGTACCACCTTAAAACAATTTCAAAATAGAAAAAGGATACGATCAATAGATTTACAGATTAGACGACTTTTTTTGTCTCGCAAATTCTCAGACCGCGAAAACATGCATCTCGTTATTTTTGACAGATAAATCGTATCGATCATTTGTTCTTGGGCGGGCTTCAGTCGTTTTCATCGTGGCGAAGGAGCACAAGGCTGTTTATGAAGTTTGTTTAATGTAAGAGGTATAACCTGGGGATTCTTATCAATTTACTACATCGATGATTCCTATAAAAGTGTATTACATATTTTCATATTTTGTTTTCTAGGTGGCACAGTAGACATAACGGTACATGAAAAGAATGCAAATGGAACATTGAAGGAAGTGGTAAAAGCCTCTGGAAATGGTTGTGGTGGGACTTTTATTGATGATGAATTTATTCAGTTGTTCGTTCGTATATTTGGTAGACCAATTATGAACAGCCTAAAATCAGAGTTTCCTGATTCTTACTTGTATCTGCTTCGAAGTATAGAGAACGTTAAAAGAGTATATGAGACATCACAAACTAGGAAAGTAAATATAACAATTCCTCGTTCGACTCTTGATGATCTGTGCCAGTCATATTTAGGGGAAAATATCACTACCGTCATTAATTCATCCAGTCTGTCTAGTAACATTGAAATAATTCGAGACAAAATACGAATTGAACCAGTATTTGTTGAATCATTGTTCAAAGCAACATGTGATAATGTTGTATCTTTATTACAGTCTGTTTTGCAACAGTCGGCAGTTCCAAACGTTACAAAGATTCTTCTTGTCGGTGGTTTTGCAGATTGCAAGGTAATACAAAACACTATGAAATCTGCTTTTCTTAATGAAAACATAATTTTGCAAGAGGATACTTCAACTATAGTTCTTAAGGGTGCAGTTTTATTTGGTTATACATCCGATTACATATCATCTCGAATGGCAAGATATACATATGGTATAGAGATCGACTGTCATTTTGATGATAAGGTGCATGCTATGGAGAAGATAAAAGTGGAGTCGGGGAAAAGATATTGCAAAAATGTGTTTTCTCCATTCATGAAGATAAATACACCTATATCAGTTGGCCACACAATTGAGAAAACGTATGAAACACGTGAGCAGTTTCAAAGAACTTGTTTGTACCAAGTGTTTTACACCAAACATGAGAACGTTATGTATACAGACACTGGAGAGTGTTCATTACTTGGAGAATTTACGATACATTTTATAAATCCAACTAAACATACCAGGGAAATGAAAGTTATATTCAACTTTGGAGACACAGAATTCTCATTAACAGTAATTGATGTTGAATCCAAATCCGAAAAGAAAGAGTTTTTCGAACTTCAACGTTAAGCTGATCTTAAGATATAAGATTCAATTTATCATATGCGTCTTTACAACTTGTTACTGGTGTGGTTTTAAAAAAAACAGTCTTTCATTTTGGGGCTTCATACCAATATACAAATAGATCAATTCAAAGGAAATTCCGTGTAAGTCACTAAATTTGGGTTAACTTTGGAAATTTGTTTGTCTAAAATAAAGAATTACAATGAATCAATGATGTTTGTATACACCATGTACACTACACGTGTTCATTGGAACCTCATGCAATTAAAATAATAAGCAAAGAATGGTCAAAGTTGCTTACATTAAACAATGTGTCAGTTTGTTTTCATTTATGAAAACCTCGGTATAAATATCTTAATGCGAGAAAGTCTGTATTGCTTCATTATTAAAACAAACATTAATTAATATTCGTTTTGAATACGTCCAAAGTCACTCGCATGAAGATGGATGGAACTAAAAGAAAACTACTGTACGAAAAATGTGACACGTTACTTTATTTAAATAAATTGTAAGGCTTCGTCTGAACATTTCAAGGTCCCTACTATGTATTGGTTACCTAAACTACACAAAAAAACCAGTAAAATATCGTTTCATCTCGGCCTCTAGTAAGAGTTCTACAACTAATCTTTCAGTGCTTTTAACAAGTTCCTTAACTACTATCAAAGAGCTTATCATAAACTATTGTAATAAAATATATGAAAATAGTGGAATTAACTATTTTTGGAGTGTAAAAAATTCTTTGGATGTTTTAGATAAATTACGTGCTTTTGATGGTCCTTTTGATTCTGTTGACAGTTTTGACTTTTCTACTCTTTACACTACACTTCCACACAATCTTATCAAACAAAAAATTGACTATTTAAATAAATGGTCGTTTGGTAAATCTGAATGCAAATATATTTGCTGCAACTCATTTAAAGCCTTCTTCTCTAATGAGAAAGGTAAATATGCTAGATATACTTACTGGAGGTGTGATGAGATGATAGAAGCTGTTAATTTTCTCCTTGATAATATTTATGTACGTTTCGGCAGCAAAGTTTATCGACAGGTTGTAGGTATTCCTATGGGCACTAATTGCGCCCCTTTAATAGCAGACTTGTTTTTGTACTGTTATGAATCACAGTTTATGACCAAACTCAGTAAAGACCCGTCTAAATTGCATTTAATTGATAAACTCAACAACACTTACCGTTATCTTGATGATATTTTTTCGTTAAATAATCAAGAATTTTCTCAATATACTGCCGAAATTTACCCAAAGGAACTTACTTTAAGTAAATCAAATTTAAACGGTAATAACTGTCCTTTCCTAGATTTAGATATTTCGGTTTTACACGGGAAACTCCACACTAAAATTTACGACAAAAGGGACGATTTTTCGTTCCCTATTGTTAATTTTCCCTTTTTGGATGGTGATGTTCCTTTGGCACCATCTTACGGTGTTTATATTTCACAACTCGTTCGCTATGCCCGTGTCTGTTGTGACGTTTTTGATTTTAACGAACGCAATCTATGTATTACTGGTAAATTATTAAGCCAGGGATTTCGTTACCACAAATTACTTAAAACCTTTACTAAATTCTTCCACAGATATAAAGATTTGGTTTTGAAGTTTGGTTGTACTTGTAGAAAACTTATTTCAAACGGGATTGCACATCCTCATTTTTACGGCAATATTATTTACCCTGCCCGGAAATTTAGAAACGATCCTGGTAAACTTATCGATCCTTTAAATAAACTTATTCTAAAAGGTTACCAATTCAACACTGTAATTAGATCATTAAATATTGTTTTTATTGGTACTAATATTGATTTTGTTATCAGTAAATTAAAAGCAAACTAAATATTATTGTTATATACATATACACATTCATTGATCTACAATATGTCGATACCTGTATCTTGGCATTGCACAAGGTCATGTTTTTCTCTGACTGTTTATGACGTCTTTACACTAAATCCATTGGATGTTGGATGTGTACGGATTGATAATTTAGTCTTAGATGCATGATTTTTTTTATTAGTTGTTAGTGGCTTTGAACTAGCTGTCAGTAATTGCGAGTACTCTCAGATCTGTACTTAGTGTATTTTTGTTGTTTGGATGTACAAGTACCCGGCCACGTCCGCTTGTATTTGTATTTTTATCCATCTGATGAGTTAAGCCTCTTTCAACTGATTTTTATAGTTCGTTCTTATGTTGTACTGTTACACCACTGTCCCAGGTTAGGGGAGGGCTGGGATCCCGCTAACATGTTTAACCCCGCCACATTCTGTATGTATGTGCCTGTCCCAAGTCAGGAGCCTGTAATTCAGTGGTTGTCGTTTGTTTATGTGTTACATATTTGTTTTTCGTTCATTTTTTGTACATACATTAGGCCGTTAGTTTTCTCGTTTGAATTGTTTTACATTGTCATTTCGGGGCCTTTTATAGCTGACTGTGCGGTATGGACTTTGCTCATTGTTGAAGGCCGTACGGTGACCTATAGTTGTTAATTTCTGCGTCATTTGGTCTCTTGTGGAAAGTTGTCTCATTGGCAATCATACCACATCTTCTTTTTTATATTAACATAAGATACATTTCAATATATACAATAATGATTAACTGTTAGTGAAAAACAGATGACGACCTTTGCAAAGATATCTACAAAATATATGGTACCTTACGACTCGTATTTCTCGAATGATCTTCATCTGGTACTTTGGAAACTAAAATTCAAGAAGGCAAAACATATCAAACGTATGAGAGCAAATCAAATTAAAGGGACAGACCATATCTTCTGATGTAAACTATGTCCCAGGGTTCTCTTTTTTCTTCTTCCATTACGTTTCTACTTTTTATTGAGTAGGGTATCAATGTGACATACGTCAGAGTCCTATAGTGGGTTTGGCAAGTAGTTTTATGATTGATTGATTGATTGTTGGTTGTTTAACGTCCAGTGGCACATAATAGTTTTATATAAACAGAAATAGATGATACATGACAACATATAGAAGCATATAGAAATACTTTCTCTGTCTTTATCTTTCATAAAAAAAGTGTTAGTGTGAGGTCTTGAGAAACTAGATTCTACATCATAATATCTAATGAGTTTGAATGGAAACTTTAAAAAAAATATGAAAGATAATACTCCACTCATAACAAAATCATTTACAATTATACAAAATGCTTTTTTCGTGTTAGCTCCCGTAATTATTGTCATTAAGTTACATAAATGACCAGTTGCGTACTATTACTAGATACATGTTCTCTTTCAAAATTGTTTGATTGCTTCTCAGTGTTTTAATGCATCGTTCGGGAACTGTCGATTTTACATTATTCTTATTATACGATGAAATTGAATGTGTTAATAATCATGTATATTTACAATGCTACATTGTTACATTTACAATGTTATGTTGATGTTTGTCTTTTGTCGTTTTTCGTCTTTTGTCATGGCGTTGTCAATTTGTCTTCGACTTATAAGTGTGACTCTCCCCTTTGGTATATTCGGCCTGTCTTTTAATTTTCTGAAATAATGTTGTCAGGTAGTTCAAATCAATTGTTATCGAAAAGTTTGCTTTTTTTTTGTTGCCATTTTGGTATTGTTCAATTCAACGTCACAATGGAGATAGTGGTAGTAATATCCTGGCATGCAGTAGCAGAACAGTAAAAAACAGACATCACTTATTCAAACCCGACCACATTACATGCATCTTTTTCCGTGGCAGAAACCTCGTCAGTAATTGTAATTCGTCATACGTTACTTGGAGGGCAGACCTTTTTATTATTACTGTTTATTTTTCAACAGTTTTTAAAGACTCGGGACTATTTAGAGCGTGACATATATTTTAAAGACACCTATCTATTGTTTAACGTAACCCGAATAATAACAAAAAAAGTTATAGTTACGTTTGACACTTATTCCCGGAATGCAGGGATTGGGTTAGGAACCGATTAATTAGGAACGTAATAATAATATTTGTGTCTACAGTTAAGTTGTGTTATTGTTACGTTGATGCATTTCAATATATGCTGGGAATGGTAATATAAATAGTTTGTTCCATATGTATGTAATATCTAAGAAATAATTCTTTCGTGTAATGCTCTTTGCTCATTTTAACATGGGTAGGCATTACATTTGTCAATACCTTTATACCGAGCGTTAGCGAGGTGTAAAATGTTGACACATATAGTGCCTACCCATGTTAAAATGAGCATATATCATGGCATGATAAGATCATTTTGATTCTAATAGGAAAATTAAGAACTTTTGTACTTCGAAGTGTACTCCTTTAATACACGTTCGATAGGCAGCCATTTTGATTTTATGAGTAATAATAATAATAATTATTATTATTATCAAGCCTATCGGAGAATTAATCAGCAACAAAACTAAAGTCAGTTATAATTAAATTTTGATAAACCTTACGTAACAATAATGCAACGTAACTGTAGACACATATTATTTTTATGTTCGTATTTCATCGGTTCACAACCCAACCTAGCATTCCGGCAATTAGTGTCCAACGTAACAAAAGAGAGGCGAAAGATACCAAAGGAAGATTCAAAATCATAAGTCGAAAATAAACTGACAAAGCCATGGCTAAAAAAGAAAAAGACCAACAGACATACAATAGTACACAATACACAACATAGAAAACTAAAGACTGAGCAACACTAACCCCACCAAAAACTGGGATTGATATCAAGTGGTCCGGAAGGGTAGGCAGATCCTGCTCCACATGTGGCACCCGTCGTGTTGCTCATGTTAGTACAAACCCGGTAATAAGTCTAATTCGGGAAAAGGGGCGGGATTTTATTTACGACATAAGGAACATATCTGCTATCATCTGTGAAACGGATATTCCGTAAGGGTCAACCAACTCGTGATGGCGTCCGTAAAATTTTCGAAGGGATGATTTCAACTTCATCACTTGGAACTCTTGGTTTAATAGCTTCCTTGTGAGCAGCAACCCTCTATCAAGAAATTCATGATAGGAAATACAAGTATCACTTGGGAGATATATACTCCGTATGCAGGCGCTGCTGGAATGTTGATACATAGAAATGGAACGTTCACAACTGGGAAGCTGAAATCATCTCTTCTGTCGTAAAGCTTTGTTTTCAACTGACCCTCATTGTCAATTTCTAGATGTAAGTCAAGATATCAGGCAGACTTAACTGTATCTGTTGTATCCTTTATCTCAAGTTCGATGGGATAGATGCGTTCAACATAGTCACCAAATTTTGAATTACATTTATTTAGTGAGAGAACATCATCTATATAGCGGAAAGTAAAGTTAAACGATACTGGTAACTTCTTTTCTTTCTTCCTAAGAAGTTCCTGTATGAAATCAGCCACATATGAATAAAGTAACAAGTCGGCAAGTAGAGGGGCAATGTTGGTTCCCATGGGAATGCCGATTGTTTGTTAAAAAACACGTCCTCCAAAAGTAACAGATACCGGGGTATGTCGATGCATCTTGATAATGTCAGTTTCAGAGAATTTTTTGTTTGAATCAGAGTGATTTTTTACAAAGTAGGATTTATCCAACCCAAAGACAAGATATTTGTATCTACGTTGGTCATTCCTTTTTTATGAAACAAAGCAGGACCAACTCTTCCAATTTGTCTTTTTAATTTGGAATGTGGAATACTTGTGTAAAGTGTAGAAAAGTCAAATGTTTTAATACTATTGCAAGATGAAAGCGTCTTAGATTGTATGTACTCTAAAAGATCTTTGGAATTTTTAGTATCCACATCTGATTCACGCCACCTCTAAAATATGTAGTTTCACAATAACTTTGAAGCCCGGCTTTGATTGCTGATAAAATTGATGTTAAATAATGTAGAGAGGTTTTGTGGAGCACTTGGAAGACCCAGCAATATACCGTTTTGTTATTGTTACGTTTCAACGTAAATTAGTGCCTTTTGTTTCATCGCCGTTTTAACTTTACCCCACATCTCCTTTTATTCATATTCATATACTAGTAGTAACTCCAAACATAGGGATGAGACAAGAATGAAATATTTTCTAATTTCAAATCATCGCCTTCACAGATTCCTTAACCGCTTTCGTCGTCTTCCTAGAGACAATACTTTTGAATTCCAGACAAAGAAGCCGGCCGTTTACCCATCAGATGCTGAGCCGTTTTACAGCATGATTCGACATTATTTCTGTGAAAGAACAGACCAAAGTCCCCTTTGAAACAGCTGATTGTGGAAAAGTCTATATAATGAAAGAAAAAAATGTAATGGCGCGAAGTAACATACTTAGAAGCAGAAGCGTCACAAGTAGAGTCACCACATTACATAATTATGCAGACACTTTCAGGAAATTTTCAAAAAGTTGGAAAAAACAATTAAAACAATACATATACAATCCCTTTACACATGACTTTAACAATTTGTTTAAATGTTGTGATGTTACACCACTATTCCGGACATTAAGGAGGAGGGTTCAGCGCTTAAAAATATATTTATCCCCGTCATATTCTGTATCTGCACTGACAGGAGCCTGTAATTCAGTGGTTGTCGTTGGTTGCTGTCTTTCGTATGTGTTTTCAAATTATTGTTTTAGCTTAGATCGGCCTGAAGTTAGTTTTTCGTTTGAATTATTCACATTTTGTCATTTCGGGGCCTTTTATACCTTACTATACATATACCTATTGCTCATTGTTGAGGGTCGTAATGCGACCTATAATTTCTTACATCCACGTAATTTGGTCTCTGGTAGGTAGTTGTGTCATTGGCAATCATACCATTATTTTTATATATAACCTTTCGGAATGTTGGGTCCTCAAGGTGTCAGACCACCAATTCAAAATCCCTTTATTTTCAACCAAAGTTTAAAGTCTTATAAGAAAGAACTGCCTTTCGGAAGCCAAGTACTACTAAAAATAACCCCTGGTTTTCTGGAAATCTTAAATTAGTATACTATCATGACTATGGAGCAAACTCATGGACAAGTAAATTTTGGCTCAAAATGGTCTAAAAATATTTCTCTTTCACCAAAAATTTCATTTCTGCAAATTTGTTGGTTAGTTTAAGTAAACAATGACATTAAAAGTACTGTTTATTGTCAGATTAGGGCTACTTTTACATATGTTCTAAATTGGAGGGAGTGCATAGGTGGTCTGACACCTCAATACTCTTTTAACTTCGCACTTATTTGGCCTTTTAAACTTTTTTTATTCGAGCATCACTGATGAGTCTTTTATGACGAAATGCGCATCTGGCGTACACAATTTAAATCCTGGAATCTATGAGGAGTTTATTTAAATTCATTTTTTCTATTGATTTAAGTCACATGTTCGAACAAATATCATGTGTTCCTTACAAACTATTGCAAAAACCTGTAAACTTCATGAGCATAAATTCTGATTTCTGCAAGCTGGTTATGAATGACATGTCTATAAATCGTCAGCTTGGCTTAAAGCAGCAGACTTTACGACTACTGTAGAACACATAATGCTCAGCATTCTTTGGTATTGCTTTTTGTCTAACTAGAGGCAACAATAATTAGCCAATGTTCAAATCGCAAAAATGTATTCAGAACATACAATTCAAAGTAAGAAACTAACACTCAGGGAATCGAATGGACTCAAAAGGGAGCGATACCGGGGGCGTCATCAAGGTAAGCTACTCCTGCTATGCTAAGTGTTTTGTGAGGGTTTTTTTTTGTGTGCTGTGTATCGATCTGATGTGTCAACACTGTTTCAACTGATTTTCGTCTCTTTTTGTAATTTCAAGACATGCTCTACTAAACAGACAGATACAAGGACTAACAGACAGACATACAACTGTATACCATAATAAACTAGATGAATAAAAAGAGGCAAACAATTGCTTATTGTTGAAGGCAGAATGGTGATCTGTATTCATATCATTGTCCTTTCTTTGGTGGACGGTTGTCTCATTTAGAGTCATACCATTTCTTGCATAATCACAAAGGACATATTTCGATGTGTAAAAAAGGTAACAATGGTAAATTATGTCCATGAAAAAAAGGTTTCATTAGAAAACTAAATAAATTCGACTTGGAAAATGTATAAATTTATTATGCATTTTAGAATAAATGTAACAAAAACATATAAATTCATAAAATTTCAATAATAAATAAAAATAATGCATGTATAGAGAGGAAAAATGTAAATGTCTGAGAAAAATGTGAAACAACAGAAATCTGACATATTAGATGTTTAAAATTACCATTGAAAGTTCATGATTTGACAAATGTTGGATTTCATAAGTACCATATGCTACAAGAGAGGCAGAAGATGCCAAAGGGATTTTAAACTCATATATCAAAGACAACCTGACAACACCATGACAAAAAACGAAAAAACAACCAAAAGAGAAACAACAGTCTACAAAACATAAAAAACTAAACACTGAGCAACACAAATCCACCAAAAACCAGGGGGTGATCTCAGGTGTTCCCAAAGGGTAAGCAGATCATACAGCTCACTAAGATTTTGTTCTTTCCATCAGCTGTCCATGGTTAAGTGGGCTCAAAATGGGCAAATATTCTATATGGTCCCCTGTGGCAAACTTTTGGATAAGACATGCAATTTCTTTTTTTTTTTCTTCATAAGAATTAAATACTTAATAATGGAAAGTTATTTTTTTCCAATATTTTTACAAAATCTGAGATTAGATTTGAGTGAGCAAGAGTTGTCTGTCCATGGCAGCCAGGTGGTGAAAGTATAAAATCCCAATGAGCTCTAGTGTAATTACAACCAATTTAAACTCAATCTTATCTTACCTAGTTAGGTAGTGGTCAAAAATACAATATAGATATGCTTTAATCAGATAATGGACCTTTCACTGGTATTTTTAAACTCATTGTAAAAAAGTCAAATAAATTATTGCAGGATTCTCATCTACTCAAGGTTTCATAACATCTTTAATTCCAAGCATTTTTTTTTTTGGAGAATCAACAAATTTAATTTTCTAAAAGATGTGTCAAGAAATTAATTTGTTACCTATTTACAGAATATTCATAAATAATTATATAGTTAATGCTTTCTTCTAAGTACTTTTTCTTATACTACTGATCACAATAAAATGGATGTAGCTGAGAAAAAAATGCATATAGTCAATCAAAAAAATTACACATTATTAAAAACAGCACACAGAGAAAAAAAATAAAATACGCTATAAATTCACAAATGATTGTTGATCAAATTTCACTAATGCTATACACATCAAATTTAATCAGAATTTAAAATGCAAATTCTAATTAACATTTTTTTTAAATAATTGTTGCAAATACATGTATATCAATACAAAAATTTGGAATGTAAATGTACATTAAAACATCAGTTAAACAATTGTGCGACAATAGTAAACAGTGTATGTTTTAATACATGATATATATATTGATAAATTAATCTTATTGACCTCAAAACTTGACTTTTTTTATTTTATGTATCTGTTGTCCTAAAAGGGTAAAATAAAACAGTTTTGTTGTGTTTTCTCTTCTTATTTTAGGATTTCACCTGGGTAAAAAGATAGCGAATGTTCATTGGTATTTTTTTAACATTGTAAAAAGTTATATTAAATTATTTCAGGAAATCATCTACTCATGGGGACATATCTTTAATTTCAAGCATTATTTGTTTTGAGAATCAACAAATTTTCCAAAAAATATAAGTCAAAAATGTCTTTGTTATAAATAAAGGCAACAGTAGTATACCGCTGTTCGAAATTCATAAATCGATTGAGAAAAAAAAACAAATCCGGGGTTACAAACTTAAACTGAGGGAAACACATCAAATATAAGAGGACAACTAGGACACAACAGAAACACAACATTAAAATGTAACACACACAGAAACGAACTATAATATAACAATGGCCATTTTCCTGACTTGGTACAGGACATTTTAAGAAAAAAATGGTGGGTTGAACCTGGTTTTGTGGCTAGCCAAACCTCCCGCTTTTATGGCAATTAATGTTAAATATAACATTAAAATGACAACATTACATGACAGGACTACAATACAAATAAATGGGAGAACATATAGGACAGAGAAACATACGAATAATAGCTAACAAAAGGTACTATGTTATATATCTATAGAAAATGATTAGTGCTTTGTTCTCAGTACCTTTTCCTATACTGCTGTTCACATTTATATAGATGTAACTGAATTCAAAAATCCAAATAGCCAATAAAAAATATACACAACCAAAAATATTTATATAAACAACAAACAAACAGAAAGAATAGAATAATACTCTTAATTCACAGAAGTTGAGCAGTTTTCCAATACAAAAAAATTAATCCTTTAATTGCTCTCATTCTGCTATGTCACACATTTAGATTGTCAATTTTCAAAATTAAAAAAATAACTAATGCTGTTTATCATGTTTATATGTAATTCTATCAGGATTTGAAATTCATATTTGTATCTACATTTTTTTTTAAATAATATAAATTGTTGCAAATATACATGATATAATAAATCAAAACAAAAACAGATTGTCAATATATACATGAGAACATGAGTAAAACAATTGATTGTGTGACAAAAGTAAGCATGGTATCCTCTAACACTGTTAATACATAACACATATTGATAAATTACTCTTGCAAAAAATGTATATTGACCTCAAAACTCGACCTTTCTCTTTATTTTTTATTATTTTGTTTTTTGTTATAAATTCAATATACACCATTTTTAAAAATACCTTTAAAAGTGTATAGGAAATAACTTATAGTGTATACTCTGAAGTAGCTATGAAAGTACATTAAGAATATTCCATTAAAAATGAACAAATATCATCTTAAAATTCAGAGTTTATTCTGCATCTATTGTCCTAAAAGTAAGATTGAACAGTTTTGTTGATTTGTACTTTTATTATAAGAATATCTCTGGGGAAAAGGGGGCACACTTTCCCTTCAAATCAGTAATGCATTTGTAATAGGCAATTTAATGAATTATTTTTAAGCATGTGAACAAAATTTTAAAAATTTGTAATTCTAATGACAATGTTGACATAAAAACATACAATTGATTCCTAAGAGTTGTGTCCCTTTACCTATGTCAACTCCCTTTAACTGACAAATAATGTATTATGTTTTATAACATAATACAATTGAGGTCACTTGAAAATTTGTCAATCAATTATGGAGGGTAAAGTCTTGTTCAATCTTCTTATTGTGGAAAAAAAAAACATCAATATTGTGACTGGACTTTATCAAATAGTGGAACATTCAATGATATTTTTTTGTGTGGTGTATTTATTCTAATTAGAAATGAAGCTTGCCAAATGTAATCTTTAATAATTTTTTTTAACCATAAAACCTCAATACTGTAAAAGAAACAAAATACTGTAAATTCACAAATTTTTGTGATGTATTTATTATTGCAAAAATTGTGGCTTTGCAAATAAAAGCTCCAACTAAATTTGATAGGATTATTTGTATGCAGCATTTGCTGAGATCGTAATAATTAAATTTGTGATCATTATTAGACAATAACAAAAATAAATGCACACAAAAAATTTCTGGATTTACAATACATAAATTATCATAAGTTTGTCATTAGCCTTTCAATCATGGTAGAATTAAGACTTCAAAACTTTGATACATTTTCCCGTCAAAAAGTGAGTTTGTCATTGATCAATATGAACTGTTGATATGCACTGGTATGATTAAATGGTAAATAAGTTCACATATATGACATTAGCATTTGATTGACATTTACACCAAATTAAAGTGTCCCTTCTTACACTGTTAGAGATAGCAAAAAATAGTGGGGCAGTTACTCTTCTCTTAATAATAATGCTCCCTTTTGTCCTTAAATTCTGCCCAATATTTTTCATAAGGGAAAAAAGATACTTTTAAATTAAAAAAAGGAATTTTTAACTACTGAGGATTCATTTATTTTCGTGGGTACCAATTTTTGTGGATTGAGGAAAAGTTACACTTTCATGGATATTTAATTCATGGTTTTGCCAAAATTTGCATACAAGCCAATGGAAAAATTGTAATTGTTGAACATTTTAATTTGTGGTTTACCTGTACCCATTGAATCCACGAAAATTGGTATCCAACGAAAAATGATGAATCCACAGTATTGGAAAAAGTTTTAACAACCCCAAAATACTATCAATCCAGCAATTCAATAGTCAATTATGTATGTATAAAGATAAATAAGTTATCTTTTTTCAAAACTTAAATACATGTATACATTGAGTTTCACAAAGATCAGTATAAGGTATATATATATAAATACAAAATGAATGCAAATAAATTTATATAAAAAATTTGAATACTGTTTTCTATAAATTTAAGTAGTTCCTTATAAGGCCAATTAAAATTGATTGATAGATTTTCATCCCCGCCCGCCCCTCTGAAATCGTTCCGCCCCAATTTTTTTTATTTTGAAAAATTTACGATTTCCGGATTTTGTTCATTTTTGTTACCGGTAACTGTCGATAATTTCGTTTCATTAATAACATCCTGTTTCAAATTTTGGTTTTTGCATTTCTTTGTATGTTTGATTCGTTATACATGTATATACATGATAGAACCTTATTATTACACTTGCATATATGAAGAACACGTCACAAGAGCGTTTCATATCTAATAAAAAATAAAAAATAAAATCCTCCCACCCACCCCATTTTTTTCAAAAATTTGGATGAAAATCTACTAATTAAATTTACTTGGCCTAATTATTATATCAGGAGTTGAGCCATGTAAAAATAAGAAGATGTGGTATGATTGCCAATGAAACAACTCTCTACCAGAGACCAAATGACTTAGAAGGTAAGCAACTATAGGTCACCGTACGGCCTTCAACAATGAGTAAAACCCATACTGCATAGTCAGCTATAACAGGCCCCGAAATGACAAATGTCAAACAATTCAAACGAGAAAAATAACGGCCTGATTAATGTCATAGGTCATTTAATTGATTTGTCCATTGGCTAGATGTTGTTTGATGTCCAGGCAGTGACAAATATTACACATGTCACATGTACATCAGGACCAGAACATGTTAAGAACCCTGCATTGTAATAGACTGATGTACTGAGAAGGTATTTATACATGCTACACAACAGCCCTTGTGGATTTTGCTTTTTCCTCCTGCCCACTGTGGACAGCCCACCTGTGCCCATTCTAGCTATATTCTCTTCTTTTTGTAAAAATATTAATTACAAATGCTTATCTGCTTTTTTCAATTGTTTGTACTTGCAAGTCTTTTGATTAAACAAAATAAAACGCATGCCCACTCCTATGGGTGGAAAGAGTTGACAAGCTAGAAATTTTGCCCACCTGGTGCCCACTCTCACTGTGGGCGGGTGGACAAAGCAAAATCCCCCCGAGCTGCACTGTAGTTCACAAGGTAACAGTAGAAAGGCATATCAACCTCCTTTATCTTAGCTCTGAGCAGATCAGTCTTTACTCTTTTTCCTGAATACCACATGCTTTGGGCCCAGAGAAGCAGCATATACCAATTTTCATGTATTTTGGTTTTGACCTGGGCAGGGATCAAACCCATGACCTTCTACACTCAAGTAGAGCTAAATACACTACACTGCAGTAGTCTTTACCAAACGTTTATGATTTACAAGCCTGAGGTATCATGTGCTAAATATTAATTGCCTGGAGACGCAGCAAATACCAATTTTCTTGTATTTGGGTATTGACTTCAGCAGGGATCAAACCCATGACCTACCACACTCAAGGAGAGCAAAGTACACTACAGTAGTCTTTACCAAAATTTTTTTGACTTACAAGTTACAAAAATCAATTTTACAAAAAAAACAAAAATATAAATTCATCTTACTTTCATTTTTGTGTACATCAAATAAGGCCTCATTTTCCGAAAAAATTTGACAACATTTTACTCCTGGCTTATGAGGCCTCTTTACACGAAAATTATACTGGGTCAACAACAATTTTACTCAGGACTGGCCGCCTGGGTCGTAGGGTTTGTGGTTATAATCACGAAGACTGCAGTATGTACCCCTCAAATGTGATTCACATAAATTCTTACAAATATTGATAGTATTGATACAAACTGAAAAAAACATGTTTTTTGTGTTTCTTATCATTCTTGAACATTATCCTATTACAGTTATTTTTCACCAACCTTTAACATTATATAGCTAATCTTCATGATCACCAGTCTTAAACATTATACAGTGATTTTTCTATTCAATTCATTTAAAACTGTGCCATTTGTAAATACAATAGGAGGTAAAGGAGACAGACTGTCAAACTCTGGCAACCATTTTACAACAAGAGGCCCAGTGGATGGTAATCCTGCATGTCCAAAATGGTTTAGCCCTGGTTCCTGCCAGTTGTAACTGAAACCTTTGTATTTTGGCATTATATTTGGATACAAAACATACTTATGAAATTTCCAGTTAAAATAAATAAACCACATGGTCCACATATTTTGAGCATTTCCCTGTCTTCTGTTTTCTGAATACCATACAGTCGCTAGATTATTGGGTACCAGGGGATGAAAACTTTTATCTAGTGACATCTTTTCCCACCAAGTTATAAATTCTTTCCACTGGTTCAGTTTTGGTGAAAATCCCCAACTGCCTGGCATTGAGTACAAATAGGTTAAATGCTTTTTCGACACATTAACATTTTCAAGTGCACTGGGTCCAGAATAAATGGAGCCTACTCCTTGAAGTGTAAATCCGCTGATTTTATTATCATCTTTGTAAGTCGAGTGTACTGATTTTAACCATTGATAAAAAACTGGAGATACTGTCAAATCATCTTCAAGAATGACACATATTTCCCTCGGATTATCCGATAATTTCCAAGTTCTCAACCACTGGTTTATTATCCCTGCATGTTGGCCACGAACATACACATTTTTCTCTCCATGTACAAACTGAAAATCTTTTGCAAACTGAACTGTTTCATTGTGAACCTCACCATTTATAGAGCGATCAACCCAGATATCTAAAACTACTCTTTCACCTTGGTAATCTGTCAGTAGCAACGAATCAAATAAGCGTTTTAAGGATTTTGACCTATTGTAAGTTAGGACAATAATTCTTAACTGTGGTGAAGAATCGAAAATAACTGGAAAATTTTTAGGCTGAAATTGAAATACAAAATCAAATTACCATGACGTCATGACTACAACTTTTAATCATAATAAAAGCCTGAAACAATGAGCACTTGACAAACAGAGTGGGTAATAATTTAGGAGGGTCTGAATAGGGGGTCCTTCATTTCTGTATTCTTTATTTAGGTCATTTTTCTCTATTTTTTATATTTTTTGCCATTTATCCTTTTTTTTATATATATATTTTAGCACCCCATTATTCTCAACTATTTTAAGCCTATTTTTCTCTATTCTATGTTTTTTAAGCCCTTAATTCTGCACTTTTTGCCTTTTATTCTCTATTCTGTAAACCCCATCCAGACCCTCATTTAGCAAATATAGTACAATACCCAATATGATGATTAACTGTAATTGCTTTTTGTTTAAATAAGGTTCTCCATAAACAATTTACCTTTTTTGACACTAATCAGGGTAGATAAAACTAAACATCATTGAGATGGGAGCCATCTCTGTGGGCCCCGCTGTGAATAACGTGTGGTAAAAAATTTGTATCTTTACCATAGGACATGGGGTTGTCATCTGAAACCAAAGGTTTTGACCTTGACCTTTGACCTAGGAAGTTGTACATACATTATGATACACCCTCTGGTGTTGGTTAATATACATGTCAAGTATAAACTTTGAAATCATAACGGTTCTCTAGATATAGAGCGGACATGATCTTTACCATAGGACATGGGGTTGTCAACTGAAAACCAAAGTTTTTGACCTTGACCTTTGACTTAGAAAGTTGTACAAACATTATGACACACCCTCTGGTGTTGGTTAATATACATGTCAAGTATAAATTTGAAATCATAACGGTTCTCAAGATATAGAGTGGACACGATCTTTACCATAGGACATGGGGTTGTCAACTGAAACCAGTTTTCGACCTTGACCTTTGACCTAGTAGAGGAAGTTGTACATACATTATGACACACCCTCTGGTGTTGGTTAATATACATGTCAAGTATAAATTTTGAAATCATAAAGTTTCTCAAGATATAGAGCAGACACAATCTTTACCATAGGACATGGGGTTGTCAACTAAAACCTAAGTTTTTGACCTTGACCTTTGGCCTAAGAAGTTGTACAAACATTATGACACACCCTCTGGTGTTGGTTAATATACATGTCAAGTATAAAGTATGAAATCATAACGGTTCTCTAGATATAAAGCGGACACAATTTGTTACGGACGGATGGACAGATGGACGGATAGACGGACAGACAGACTGATCACTATACAGTACAGTTAAAGCTAACATGTTTCCAAACTCCGTATACCACAATTATTCACGGAGTGACACCAGGAAACTCAGATATCCCTCCCTAAATAATTAAATAACACATATCTGAGAGGGTGGTAGAGCAGATTGTTACCCCTTGAAAAGACATTGTCAACCTTGGCTTTCCCTCAGCTGACAATATTTTCTCGGGGTAACAATCTGCTCTATCACCCTCTCAGCTATGTGTTAATTATATATTATTAAATGTTAAATTTTCTGTGTAGTCTTTTGTGGATTGTTATTCATATATTCGTATATAGATTCAGATGTAGATTTATATATATAGATTCAGATGTAGATTTATATATATAGATTCAGATGTAGATTTATATATACAGATTCAGATGTAGATTTATATATACAGATTCAGATGTAGATTTATATATACAGATTCAGATGTAGATTTATATTTATAGATTCACAACTGACATGTTATAATTGAACAAGTTTTGAAATATACATGAGGAAAAGGGTTCCCCCTCTTTCTTAATTTTTATTGATGTATATTAAGTATTTTACCTCATCACTATGTGGATCCGGATCCCGACCTGGAGTGTTCTGTATCAGATGTAACATGTACCAACACAAAAACATGCCAAGGAGTATAGAAGATGGTAACCATGACGACTTCAATTTTCTTATCAGACCCATTCTGAAATTATATGAAGACATTGATTTTCAAGTAATAAAAATATCAATAAGGACATGTGGTTTAATTGCCAATTAGCTAGACAACTATCCAAAAAAAATCAAAATGATGTGGATGTAAGGGATTATACGTCACCAAAAAAGACTCACCATACACATGATACAGCCTTCAACAAAAGTAAGGAGATATGGTATGATTGCCAAATTGTCAAAACTTCTTTTTTCGTATTAATTTTTATATTCATAATGTGGTTCTGCATCATTACCCAGAAACGATTCTAGCATTACTTCTCGATGCAGGTTTTTAAAAAATATTTGGTTTTCCTTTAGGGTGTGTGTCTGTTTATGATGGGTATTCATAATATGATATCTTATATTTCAATGTTTTTCGAAACTTATACACATGTATATAGATATTTACTACAATAGTTTTGGGTAACATATTTTTTGTTTTTCCAAGTTGCATGTAATTTACTTTGAATGAATACTATCATTGTGATATAATCATGTTTGCATATACATGTACTGTGGATTCATTTATTTTCGTGGGTACCAATTTTCGTGGCTTCAAGAAAACTTGCATTTTCATCATGTTCATGGATATTAAATTTCATGGTTTTGCTGAAGTCTGCATATAAAGCCTAAAGCCTAAAGAAATTTTGTCATTCGTTGAACATTTAATTTGGTGGTTCAGCTGTTCCCATGAAATCCTGGAAAATTTGTATCCAACGAATAATAATGAATCAACATAATATATATAATATGAGACTAATAATTCATTTTTGTATCATGAATGACATAAAAAATGTGATTAAATGATGGTTCAAGTCTATTTGCACTAATTTACCATCACATATTGCACTTTTATTTCCAGTTTCGTTTCACCACTATCTAATACTTAAACAATAACCCAGTGTAAACAAGTGAAACTGCGAGCTACTGCTCACTGATGATACCCCTGCCCAAATATTTCGGTAAACAGGAAGTTGTTGAGGGATGAATCTGAAAACGCATCACACTGTATAGCTGACTTATATAAACCCTGAAACCAAATTTCAGAAATCCTTATGATGTAGTTCCTGAGAAAGATGCGATGAAAAATATTCATGGGATGGATGGATGGATGGACGGACAGATGGACAGACCGACGAACAAAGAGAGGTAAAACAGTATACCAGGCAAATACCCCCACTTTTTTAAAGTAGGGTATAATAATTACTGTTTTACTGTGGTGAGTATTTTTCAACCAGGTGAGTTTTCACTAAATGGGCTATCAGAAATAAAGGTGAACATATAAATTTGGGTGCTGACGTGGGCCATAAATTTTCCCTAGTAGTTTTTAATTTTTCGCTAGAATGTCCTGTTCCCATTATAACAGACACCATTTTGACAAAATGCAATTCAAATGCCTTCCCAGTAAATATAACATATCCAGTAAAGCAGGAGACAGTATGTGGTGAGAGCCTAAACATTTAAGAATTTTAATAACCATGCAGGGGCTAAACAATTAGTTGACAAATGTACATAAAATTGAGAATGGAAATGGAGAATGTGTCAAAGAGACAACAACCCGACCATAGAACAGACAACAGCAGAAGGTCACCAACAGGTCTTCAATGCAGCGAGAAATTCCCGCACCCAGAGGCGTATGCATGTTCATGCAGAATATAATCTGTAAGATCTTTGAAATATCTTTATAATTCAAATAACCTACACTAACCTATGAGCTGTAGCCTTCTCTATCGTGAGGCCAAAAATAAAATTTAAATTGGTTGATGTTGCCTACCTACCCACCTAAAATGCAACCTACCCAAAACATTTTATGACACAAATCAAAAAAAGATTTTTTTCCTGCTCTAACGTTGTTTTCTCCTCTAACATTGTCTAAAACATATGCATGTAACTTATGTTGTTGGCAGAAAAAATAAAATCCTTACCTACATGTACATTGTACCTCTAACCAACCCTATGAGGCATGGGTAGGCAACATATTTTAATTGTTTAAGGGTGGTCTGACCTTATATGTAATCAGGGGCATTGTTGCTTTAATAGACAAGTAAAGTATCCTTTTAAAATTATCTAGTGATTTTTTTTAAGAAAATCTACATGTACATGTATAAACTCAAAACAAAACAAAAAAATTTCATTGAAAAAAAGACATCAGCCTACAGCAGTTACACTGAACAAATTTTGATTAATTTGTCCTATTTAAGGTAACACGATACCGAATGGCATATCTCCCAATTTCCAAACTTTTTGACACACGTGTTCTTTGAATCGAATTACATCGGAATATGTAATAAAAAATGGGGGTCACCATTTTTGTTTTCTTGGTATTTTGATAGGAATACGTCAATTTTGGCGACAAATTTACAAAGGTATATAGGAGAAATGGCTTTTTTTCGGCTTTCCTTTTTAGATTTTCCAATGGATGGATATGTTCTTATATACGGAGAAAAACAAAAAACTAACATAATATCCAGGATTGCATACTGAATCCATACACGTAAAAAAACTCATATGTCACCATCCTTGTTTTTGAGATAAATGGCTTCAAAGTTGATCGATATGCCTAGAATTTGACCGAAAACGTATGACGTTATTGAATACAGAATATAACGTTATTCCTACTCAGAGATATGGAAAACAAAATATGTGTCAGGATCTGAATGTTGTTTTTTTATTTTCATTTCCCCTGTCGGGTTTCGTAAATTTCCTAGTTATGCAATATGAAATTCTACTGATATAAATTTATTTCGTCCTGCACATGGAAATTTCACTCACATGAATTAACATTAATCTCGTCTGAATTTCACACCAAACGAGCATATACTTGAAACTTGCTTGAACTGGTTGGTTCCACGTGAATCTTATGATAATAGTTCACGCATAAATCAACGGAATTTGGTACACGTTGAATTCACGTAAATTTTTATAATAAGATTATTCAAATAATATCTTTATTCTAAATTTAATTAAAATCATGAAAAATACCTCCAAATGTTTGTAAAGTTCACGTGAAAATAACATGAAAAATTTCACGTGTGGTTCATTTGAATTACTGAGTTTTTAACTCCATCATTTAAGACAATGGTGGTGTCATCGCTGCATCCATGCAGAAATAGAGTACTTTAAAAATTTGATTCAGTTAACAGATTTATAATTGCTTGGTTTTTGATGGTTGTTTAACGTTCAGTGGCAAATAGTTCATGCATGTTCGGGACGACACAATACAATTTGGAAAACAGTTGTTTATAAAAGACAAATTTGATGCAGCAAGTCAAAAAAGGTTAAACATTCTGTTAGTTGTGAAAATTATGAGGGAAAATAATGATCCTGATAAAATACACATTCTAAAAAATAAAATAACAAAACTCAAAGAAAAATTCAAAACTTAAAAGTCCCTTATCAAATGACGAAATCATAAGCTCAAATACATCGAAAGAATGATAAACAGCCGTCATATTCTTGACTTGGTACATACATTAGTATAGTGTACTCTACGTGGTGTAAATGTGTGAGTTGGTTGGTTGAGCAAGTCGGACAAACCTTGCAAACTGTATGCAAAATTTCACAAAGTTCAACAGTCTGTCATTTGTGGAAAATTATTTACAAAACAAATCTTGAGATCATATATTCATTCTTTATAAGTAAAGCAAACCGCGAAATATAAAAGTTCCAGCTTGAAATTCCACATGTAGGAGATGTAAGCCGGAGTCTGTACACTGCGTTCCTTTTATATGTTATCAAAATGCCTAATCCAGCAACCTGTCATGAACAAAAAATAAAGAAAATCCAGACGACATGCGTACCTTTAATATGAGTAGTAACACCAGGTAAATAATTTAAACCTGAAGCAAAAAGACTGTAGTCCTAAATAATTAGCCGTATGTATAAACCCTATGTATATATGTCAAGTGCGGGATTGACGGTCGAACGGACACGGGTGAAACAATATGATGATATGTGCTCTATTGGAATTTTGGTGACAAAACATATTTTTGAATATGCAGTTCATATAATGGAATGGTAATTTGGAGATCTAAAATGAAGTAGCAATGTAAGCAAGCTACCATTTCCGTCATTTTGTCTTTGGTGGAAAGTTGATTAATTGGCAATCTTACCGCATCTCCTTATTTCATTATGGTTTGAATTTTCTCAAGAAGAACAAAAGTTTTAAGACTTAACAAATATGTACTAAGAGACTGAAATGTTACTGTGATAATTATACTACACATACTTTCCAATTTAGGGGACCAACGTTTACTAAAACTACAAATTAGAAATAAAAAGATACTCGTCCAATTAGCATTAGACTATTTTCTTGATGTCTTTGGTTTTGATGTCGTTAAATGTCCAGATGTTGCTATCTTATAAATTGCATATCCCATATCTCCATTTATCATTATAACAGCCAACTTTTGTACAAAAAACATGTACCATATATTTTTTTGTTTTATTTGTACTTGTCCTTTTACAAATAAAGTCCCATGTTACCTCACTTCCATAATGAGCAAGCGGTCGATTGCTTTGAAAAAATTAGAGGCAATGATTTAAATTTTAACAATTAAAGTTATAAGTGACGGGTGTAAATTATAGGATTGATTGTTGGTTGCTTAACGTCCAGTGGCAAATAGTTCATGCATGTTCAGGACGAGAACAAGTTAACAATAAATACAATAGCTAGGTTTTGTAGTAGAGGCCATCTGGGATGATGGTCGAGAAAATTTGGACTGACACTGGAAAATTAGGGTATATTGGATAGGGACAGACATTTTGTTTCGCAACAGGCCACCAACGGACCTCTCAAAGAGTTGTTTCAAGGGTTCTTAATGTTCAAAGAGCGTAGAACTCTCTTTACACGAGGCATCGGATTTAACGTCCCCATTCTGACCGGACGTGGCTGCAAACTTGATACATCCCGCACAGCCAAATGGACGCCCCACTTTGGAAGCATTTTCTGACTGCAGGTCGGAAGAAGACCAAGTGACCATATTTCTATTTCCTAGTCATCCTTGGGGTGTAAATTGTAGAATAAAAACAAAATATAAAAATTATGTACATTGTCAGAAATATAAAATTCAATGTATTTGTACTCACTACGAAACAAGTGGAAAGGTCGGCGAGTCTCGCTTTTCATCGTGTTTCTAAAGCTCGTACACATACATTTTATATTACAATGTACATATATATATATAGTATATTTATCCACACAAAGAAATAAAAACACTTCTTTTTTACATGTATATATATATACTTTTATACTTGTTCTAAAAACTCCTTTTAAGACTGTGAAACTCCTCGGGCTTTTCCTGACGCCTAGTATGTGAGCAATATGTCCCTCAGGGCCTCAAAAGGCAACTATGTTTATTCTCTTTCAGTCGTTTTGTCTCCGAACTTGTAAATGTAAATTATTTCCAACTCAAATCACACCAAAAAAACCACACTACCACCGAATACCCATGCAAGCGTAAATTAACACGAATATAAAATCTAAATGATTTCAAGATCAAGCTATTTCAGTCTCTTTCTGCCGTTTGAAAAATAATTAGTCAGTCGTTTGCTTGTAAATTTCGAGAGAAAAAAATTGTAACTGAACCAGTCTGACTAGAGCCAGCCCGAACTATCAACTTGCGTTTATAGACGCAAGTGGATACTTGGAGCTGGCTTTAATCAGACTGTAACGGGACCTGAATTTTTTTTATTTCATTTTTGCCGAATCAAGTTCCCATGTATTTCTCAGCCTACGTTAACTTTCTCAGGCCTCGTTCCGATGTTGCTGTCTGCCCTGTGTAGACTTGGTCTATAGGGTTACAAAGCTAGCACTTTATTTTTAAAATGTTTCCGAAACTATATCGGATTTACTCTGTACAAACCAATGATTTTCAGAGACTGTTTACACTTGGAACATAGGGAAAGTTATTCGGCAAAATAAGCAAGTTAAACCACGTTTTTTACATTCCATACTAACAAACTATTTTCTGTATGAGTATCAAAGTCTGCTTATATTGTGCTTTTTCGCCTAATTCTATCCGTATTCTCATTCCGATAAATTTCCTTGTTCCATTTTGCCCGAGCGGTGTTTTTGACGACCATTTTAACACGAATTAATAGTTGTTTTTTCACACATCATCCCAAGTGTCTATAGATTAGATTTCGACTTTCAAAACAAAATTTCATGGCGATACGGCGCGCATCATGAATAAGTATTTATTGCAAAAATAAACCAAGAATAAAATAAAGTGTTAAAACTCTGTCTGTTATGCATAAAAACATATATAAGATAAATCGTGCAGATGCTTAAAAATTAAAGAAAAACAATATTTAAAAGTAAAGTAATACATTTTTAAAGGTTAACAATGAGCAGAAGAATTGCCGGAAAACGATAAAGCAATCTATGTCAAATAAGTTAACCGTTACGTATTGCATCAAAACTCTCAGCACTCTACATCTAGGGAAAGTTACCGTTAAAAATGTCACATAATGAATTACCAAAAATATTTTTTTTATTATTTTATCACTTTGTGATTGCAGAACCTGCTGCATTGGCTTGTATGTGTGAACGTTATTCGATAACGTCAGGAACGATAACTCGTGGCGTAACGTCATTCGGTATCGTGTTACCTTAATCAGGAAAAATTTGAAGAAATTGAAATTGAGTATTGTCATGACTGTATACATGGTATACCAGGGTTCTCACTACGGATTTTTGAAGGCAAGTCCAGGGACTCATCATTTTTGGCCATGGTGAGTCCAACAGTAAGAAAAAGATATTTTATTGCTATATAATTTATTATTTTAGTCTGTATGACCTAATAGAGCAATGAAATGACATTAAAATTCAGATTACTTTTAAACTTTGCTATAAAATGATGATATGTGTGTTCAGTTTATACAAAATATTTCAATCTTGATGCATTTTTGGACTCACCAGTTTTGAAAATGGTGAGTCCAGACAGATTTTCATGAGTCCAGGACTCATAGACTCGCCTTAGTGAGAACCCTGGTATACCAATAAAAAAGTTACTTTGAAAAAATCCATAAGGGGTTCCGCGGAACCCTGTGCATGCTGTGTCTCGCCTATGATTGCTGCTGTCAGTGTAAAAGTGTAATGTTGACTTAAAAAGTGAGTCCATTTATCAGTAAAATACAGAATTTAAAAAATATTCAAACTTTTTCTTTAGATGCTATTTCTTGGTCTTGAAGATTAGCTTCTGTCCTAGTTTCATAACAACCCGTGAAGGTTTACAAACTTGTCATGTCAAAAAAATTTAATCCCAGACTGTCTGTAAATGTTAACTGTAAAAAACTAATAAGTCCATCTATCAGAAAAATACTGAAAATGAAATATATTTTCAAAACTTTGAATCAGACATTATCTCTTAATCATTAAATTCTATGAAGGTTTGACAAAGTATTTGATGTGTAACAAACTTTAACCCCAGACTGTATCTACTTGTTAACAGTAAAATAAACTAAGTTCATATATCATCAAAATATGGAAAAATTAAAATAAATATTTTCATAATTTTGCACTGGATACTGTATTTTGGTCATTAACAAGCTTCTGTCCAAATTTCATAAAATTCCATGAAGGTTTGACAAAGTTATTGATGACAGAAAAACTTTAACCTCAGACTGAATCTGAATGATAACTGTAAAAAAAAACTGAAGGTTTTATAAAGTTATTGGTGTTTAAAAAAAGTTTAACAACAGACTGAACCTAAATGTTGACGCCGCCAACGCCGGAATCTAGGATCACTATGTCTCGTTTTCACAAAATAAATTTCGCAGGCTCAACAAAAATGACAGAAACATAATTAACTTTTCTAATTTATTTTATAGATCTGTTATTTTGTCTGAAAATGTTATTACCAAAAATTACAACATAACTTATTAATGGGCATATGTAGTTTGTTTTGGGTTAAACATATTAAAATTATGAAAGATTTCATGTCTCAAACATGTCAAAGAAATCAAAAGTTTCTATTTATCTATATGTGTCTTCTCTCAAGATTTCTTTTTGTAGGCAAATGAAGCGAATGTAAGCAACTATATACATGTACAAATGTATACAGTAGGTAAACATACAGCCTTTAACAATGAGAACCCATACCCTAGTCAACTATTAAAAAGCCCCCAACATGAAGAATGTGAAACAAATCAATTGAGAAAACTAATGGCCTAATTTATAACACAACATTTTAGGAAAAAAAATATGACAGACATGAACAAACGACAACCACTGAACTACAGGCTCCTGACTTGGGACAAGCACTGTTTGCTGAACATGAACGAAAAAAAGAATGTGGCAGGGTTAAACATGTTTGTGAGCACTCTATCCTCCCCCTTAAGTAACCTGGGACAGCAGTCTTACAGCACAACGTACTACATCAAAACAAACTGTGAAAATCAGTTGCAATTGGTTTACCTCAAAAGAATGTTCTTTTTGGTTTTTCTGGTTAATATCCTCTCTATTTAATACACCTTATCGCTACACTATATAGTCCAATCCGGAAAAAAATAAGTCATTTAGACAACTTTCAGTTTGGGTCAAGGATTAAAATACAAAGGTCATCAGTAACGAGCTGAGGAAGGAAAATGTTTAGAAAGCCTACATTTTAAAACTATGATAGATTATGATCTTATTTTTTAAAACACAAATTAAAATCATAAAAATGTTTTGTATGACATGTGTATGAGCCATTGAATGAGGTGTTTGCGATGGTTTAAACATATCTCTTTGAAAAGTTTTATGCATAGTACATTGTTTAAAAAGGGCCCAGGTAGCTTCAACTGGATGAAAAAGTTGTGCAATTTCAAAACTTATCCGGATTGGAGTAACGAAATAGCGATAAGGTGTATTTTAATATATGTGTAAAAATATTCTTCCTCGTTCAGAAATCAGTCAAATATATAAATAGTATGAAAACAATATGTTTAGATAGTATTTTCAATGTGGTCAGTAATTGTGCGGTTATGAAAAACTACCGCCCCAAGCTTTACCTGCTCATAAGTTATGACCTTCTTGTAAAATTTCTATCTGGCCCAAAAGAATTTCTAATACATGAGGCGAATAGATCTATACAAATTTTTCCATGAAATGAACTTCGGCCTGTCGCTCCCAAAGTTTATCATGAAAACTGAGAATGATGTTAGAATATAGACAAACAGGTATGAAGTCTTTAGTCTTTAGGTATGAAAATATAGCCTATAGGCGAAAGGACCTTGATTCTAATGTTTATATCATGATCATATTGTGACTATAGCTAAAAGAAAAGAGCACCAACTTGAACAGACGATTAAAGGACATTGTAAACGCTTATACCTTTTGTTTTAATGTAGAAGTAGCTTCACTGGTCTTCCTCTTCTTGATTAGGTTCGGACAGGTATGTGATGCTATTCCGTTGTCAATGAAGCGTGGTGAAACTGGTACCTGAATGGTACTTGATTACCAAAAGATACCAGTAAATGATTTAACATTGATTAATGCAATCAACTAACTGTTACAATAAAACGGTTCTTATAAGTATCATTTTTGTGGAAAAGCTAACATATCAATCGCTTTTCATATTAAAGGCTTCTTTAATTTGAATGTCTTTTTTAGTTTTTGTTCATAACAAAATCCGGAAAAACGGAAAAATCCGGTTTGTTTCCGTTATTAGTAGATTCTACCCGAGTCGCCTCCCTTGATTAATAATTGACACAACGCAAACTGGTTCTACTTTATTGTTGTAAGTGTTAAGTCAAGCTGTGAAGCCTTCCAGCTTTTTTCGAAATATCACGCCCAAATTTTAACCACCTAAACAATTAAAAAGTATTGATTGCTTTTATCATCCACACTGCTCAAATTATTCAAGATGTAAACAAATAAAACATGATGTTCTGCCCACAGTATTTTATTTAGTAACAAACCACTGTGTCCTGCCTTCAACAGATCGAGACAACAGCCACAGGTACTTGTGTTTGAGAAAAATGAACTTGGCCTACTTGGAGCGTTTACCTAGTCCGAGATTGCTCTGACGTCCAACGGCTGTTATGCCAGACAAGCTGGGGCCGTGGTTGTCATATGGATGCGCCGCCTCATGACTGACAGCCTTGGATCCATTTAAATTCGGGCTCAATTTGTTCATTTTCATTTATCTCTGCATTTATGTAAGTTTCATCTGCATTATCATGATTATACCTGCCACCCTTTATTTTCTCATATTTGGACAGTTTTCACATTGACCCATTGATTCCGGCATTTTAACTTTCATTTTCAAATGGACGTCAAGTTACGAGAGACTTCGCTGCCTCAAAACTTAAATATGCAAGTTTTTATGCTAATTTCGGCCTTTGACCTTCCTAGCCAAACATTGTAACAATCGGAACACACTCGGCCATTCAGCTTATTTGCATTGTAAATGAACGAGGTGTTAGATTATGTATTCATATTGACCCACGGTCATTTGCATAAATCAGCTCCAATAATGCATTGCGCCTTACTTTTTCTCTTTGGTCATTTGACAATCTTTCAGAGTGAACGGTAAAATGTGACCTATATATATTTTAGGGCTTATCACATGTATCATGCTTATGGAAAAAATACAAAATGAAGAGTGGGGATGTCTGTTTTTATTTCATTAAAATTGATGGTCTGAGGGGTGTACCGTACTTGAAACCAATGTATAAATGCATTTCTGTAGATCTTGGATGAAGTATAACCCTATTTTTTTCTTTTTTTGTACATGTAGTTTACATTTTGTATTGCAGTACACATGAATGTGAATTAGGTGTTGTCAAGTTCCTGTTCATATTCAGCATCTGGTGATGATAAATGACATCATGGTAAGTGTAATAAGATAAGATATTTTTATTAAACAATCATGGTGCCCAAAATTTGAGCAATACAATCAAATGAATTATTACATAATTAAGGAAGTTTACTACTCAGTTTCAAAATAACAAGCTTTTCATAACACTAGTATATATTGATAGGGGATTAATAAAGGAACCAAAAGAGCGAGAAAAAAAAATATAGGTCATTGTGCTTGTTTTCGAGATATTAGTCATTGAAATTTTGGCGGGAAAATGTTCTCTCTTGATTTTTCATAGCTTTATTATTGACAAGTTTAAGTCTCCAGGGCTCGACAATAACGCTTGTCCGATTGTCCGGTACCAGAGGAAAAAAAGGTCGGACAAGTAAAAGCTATATCAAGCTTGTCCGACGGGACAAGTTAAATTATTATGCAGAAAATAAATTTAATCCAACTTTGATGAAAAAAGTAATTATAAACAAAACACAAGAAAAGAAGATAAACACAAGTATTTATTTGACATGTTTACTTGCAATCGATAATTTAAAACTGGTTCTTTGTCAGGTACTTTTTAACAGGTAAAAGGCATACTATTCTCGGAAACTAGTCTTACTGATCCGAATCAGCGATGCGTTTTGTAGATAAGGTAACTTTACAAGACAGTTCGTTACCAGCTCACCAGCTCGGAAACGATTTGGCTCCAAGTTTAATAGACAGTTTGGCACCGTAGGAGACATATTTAATAGACATGATTCATAGACAGTTTGGGAACGCAGGAGACAGGAGACATGTTGGGACCAAGACAAATCAGTACCTCGTTTTCCTACCTTATTCTGTTGCTTTATAATAAATACCATACCGTAATTTTTTTAACAAAAATATTTTTTAAATAAAAATGAAGAAATTATTTACCATAAAATTCCCAAATCATATTTGATCATATATAGAAGAAAAAACAATACTTGCAATACGGTGACCTATAGTTATTAATTTCTGTGTCATTTGGTCTCTTGCAGAGAGTTGTCTCATTGGCAATCATACCTCATCTTCTTTTTTTTATTGATTGAATTTGAATAAACTTTTTTCAACTTAAAAAACCAGGATACAAATCCAATGAGTGGAAATTGACAGGCCTATCAGACGGTGCCTCATGTGAAGAGTCTGATGAGACTTTGGCATCGACGAAAACTAGAACCTAAGTCCTGTGACATGACTAGATTCAGTTGTTCTCGACTCATATTTTTAAAAGGTATTTCAAAAGATATAAATCAAATTCTGTTCTATTGTTTTAATTCACTTTGTTCCTTGAATCAACTTAAAATGCAAAAAAGGTTATTATTAAGATTTTTGTTGGACAAGTTACAATTTCATTCGGACAAGTAAGTTTTGGTATGTACTTGTCCTACTGGACAAGTTGGAAAAAAAGTAATTGTAGAGGCCTGGTCTCAAAAAAAAAAAAAAAATAACAAAGATTTTATTAGACTTTTACAGATGGCTTATAATTATACATGTAAAAGATTTATAAAAAGAAAAATGGGCGTTAGTCACTGTTAGTTGGCAAAATTTTTTAAGGCATTCAAATGGATAAAACCAGAGGATCCCGAAAATCTAACAAAAATTCCAAAACATAACAAGCGAACATCCTTAAGCAAAGTAAACATGGTAAAAGATTAGAATGATTAGAGTGATTAGAATGATTAGAGTGATTGAACTACATTTAAACAAAAACATGTATACACATTTAAACGAAGTACATGAAATATATTTATTATAAGCAATGTCATTGACAACAGATAAAAGTCTTTTGGAAGTCTACTGTGACCTGGAAAAATATGTTTTCTTATTCATTTTATAGGCCTAGTCATATGCAATGATATGGGAGACAACTCCTGATTATTTTTGTTTCTTTTTCAAACTTGATATTTTCTAGAAGTTTCTTTCAGTCTTCAAATAGGAGTGCAATAATTAACATAAGTTTGAAGTAACAAACAAATCTTCAGATGAAAGAATCCAAACAAATTTCTTCGCATCAGATAACTTTGAAAATTTTTTGAATGTAAAATGATTAAACTATGAAATATGAGGTTCTGGATGGTATTTACAGAATAGAGTCATGAGAGTATAGAGAATAATGAGCAAAAAATGCTGAATGAAGCTAAGGGTCTAAAATACAGAATAGAGAAAAAATAGGCCAAAAAAATTAGAATAGAATATAATATGGCGCTGAATATAAAGAAAAGGGAATAATCAGCAAAAAAAAATTAGAAAGATAAGAGCAAAATGGCCCCAAAAATTAAAAAATCAGAAATGAGAGACCCCATCCATACCCTCAATTATAGAAAAGTCTGCTGTGTACATTTACAAGTGGTACTTCAGTTTTCATCAGGAAACTTTAAAAAAAAACCGCAATATCCCTATTTTTAAATAATTAAGGGCACAATCACAGGTATCTCTTCCTACATGTATATGAAGGTACATGTATATGCAGACATGTAGCTGCAATGAATTGTCATTTGTTAGGTGTCTATATAAAGATTATGAAAATTCACATGTTTTTCTGCTGAAATTTTTTTAGGACACACATTGAATAATCTTTTTAAGGTAGATCGGGTGTCTTTTTCTGAGTATGCCTTCTGGGCATGTTTCAAAATTACTGTTATGGTTTAAAATATTTTACCAAATAACATTCCATATACATCAGAAACATCTAAATCTGGAAATTTTAACATTTAATGATAAAAAATGAAGTGTCGTAAAGTGTATTTAAAATTTTCCGAAAAAATCCACCTAATACCAAAGGGCAAATAATTATATTGAATTTGATAGGAAAATTTGTGTTTTGGGGGACTTTTAAAAGAAAATAAGGCCTGTGACCCCCTATTTTTATTTGATCTTTCAGAAGTATTTATGGAAAGAAATTATCTCATTAAATTTTAACTAATTCTATCATTTAATTAATTCCTCAATGAAGAAAAAATAAGTTTTTCCCTATATAACCCTTTTAAAATAACTGTTATTTCGATAATTTCAGTGCATTTTAAATGAAAAACAAGGTCCATGACCTCCAATTTTAAATTAAATTTGAAAGTACTTTGACCTAGAAGTTTAAAAAAAATCTATCTTTGAACATTTAGACACCCAAGCTACCTTAAGTTTTATCAAAGATCACAGATTGTATAATTTATGACTAAAAAATTTATGAATGGGTTATGCTTGATTGATGTTTGCTTAATGTCAAGTTGCAAATATTTTCTGCATGTTTAAGAAGAGAACAAGTTAACAATAAAAACAATAGTCAGGTTCTGTAATAGGGTTCCACGGACGGGAAATTTGAACCTTCACTGACTGGAAAATAGGGATATATTAATTAGAAACCACCTATGCACTGCTCAAAGAATTGTTACAAGGGTTATTTAAATGTGCTGACAGCATGGAACTCCTCTACATGAGGCATTTGATTTAACCTCCTCATTATGAGTGGAGATGAATGTGTATTTATATTTCCTGCACAACCTAACAGTCGCCCCTCATTGGCAAGGGTTTACAGATCAGAAGATTGGAAGAAAACCAAAGATGGCCATATTTCTATACCCCAGTTACTCTTGGGGTATGAATGTGTTATGATTTTACCATGAAATATGATTATGGGTTGGAATTTTGCTCAAAACCTTAGAATATGAATGGGAGGTTTAAACCAAAGCAGCACACTTGTACCCAAAATCATATGTTGAGACCCTCTAATGGGCACAACTCTCTGAAGGTAATTGCCAAAACTGTCAAAATTAAACTTGATCTCCGACTCTTTTCACAAAAAATCTTAGGAGTAAATTAAATTCACTCCTATTAAAGTCGTGAATATTTCAGTATAACTTACAATCAATTTTAGTCATACGATTTTTTGAGAAAAGAGCCCCTGTATTTTATTGTTGAAGATGTTGTGTTAAAATCTAAACAGATTTTTTTCTAGTAATACTCTCATTTTTCAACAGGATCACACTGAAACCCCAAAAATCCCAATTTTTCATTATTAACCGGATTTCACGGTTCAGGAGTTATGGTTCTTGAAAGATTGAAAAAAAATTGTGTTTCCAGTCGTGTCCGTGCTTTAACTCATGGACCCTTCAACCAAAGCTTTTCAAATTTTAATAAGAAGAATAATAAGAATAAGAATATTTATTGAATCCAATTAAAGGGCCTGTTTCGGAGCATATACATATATGTATAGTATTAATTATACAGTAATTTTTGAGATATATTACATTAAAAATAAATGATTAAATAACTATAATCCATACCAGATGGTGTTTGAAAATAAATAAAATAGGATATTAACCCTCTCTAATACATAAAAATAAATAAGCTACTGTAACATCACTACTACTACATGTATATTTAGTTAGTTACTGGAATGCAAATTTTCTCTTATTTCAAAACAAGAACTTATAAATCTTGACACTAACATATTAAAATTTTCAGACTCACATGACATTGTTCATACTTTGAAATATAAGGGAAGTTTTTACATTGAATGCATGCTTCATTAAGTTGTTCATTAATATGTTGTTACTGATGACAAAATGGAGGTCAAATTCAATATTGATGATTGTCACTTTACCGTTCAGGAATTATGGTCCTTGTGATATTGAAAAACGGCAGGATCGAAATAAATGTTAAAAAATCTGGTTTTTGTCACTCTGACAGCCTCTTGTTGAAGATAATTAAGAAGTTTTACTTTTAAACAGTAAACTTTTAAATCAAACTTGACCTGTACTTTATGGAACATTACATTATGTTGAAATCTTAAAATTATTTTGTGAACAAGTACTCTATCATTTAAAAGACTCCAAAAATCCCAATTTAACATAATAAAGGGAGATAACTGTTGAACATTTAATGCCAAATAGTACATGATTACTTACCCTTGCTTTTTGTTTAAATGTTATTCAATAATTGGTTTTTGTCTCGCCTTGACGGAGTCTAAAAGCGAGACATAGGTATTCTGTTTCTGGCATTGGCGGCAGCGTCCGCTTCAACAATGTATTTGTTTGTGATTAGGTCTAGTTTATGGTGAACCACTAGTGGTAGGTCAATGATATTTGGTATGCAGTTGTATTAGCATTGGCACATCTCATTACCATGGAGATTATTTGGCCTCGCCCCCTCAGTCAAGGTCAATTTACTTTGAAACTTTTCATAGTTTACATGTATTAGTTTGTGATTAGGTCAGTTTATGGGGAACCATGCGCCACTAGTGGTAGGTCAATGATATTTGGTATGCAGTTGTATAAGCATTGGCATACCTCATTTCCATGGAAATTATTTGGCTCCGCCCCCTAGTAATGGTCTATAGACTTTGAAAATTTTGCTAAGTTAACATGTATTAGTTTGTGATTAGGTCAGTTCAAGGGGAACCATTAGTGGTAGGCCAATGTTAATTGGTGTTCAGTTGTATAAGCATTAGCACATCTCATTTCCATGGAGAATATTTGGCCCTGCCCATTCAGTCATGGTCTATTTACTTTGAAACTTTTGCTTAGTTTACATGTATTAGTTTGTGATTAGATCAGTTTAAGATGAACTGCTAATGTTAAGTCAATGATATTTGGTATGCAACTTTATTGGCATTTTCTAGTATCGTTTCCATGGAGGTTATATAGCCCCACCCCTGATCATGGTTCATTGACTTTGAAACTTTTACATAGTTTACAAGTTAATGTTTGTGTTTAGGTTTGTTTAAAGGGAACGACTTATAATAAGTCAATGGTATTTGGTATGCAGTTGTATTAGCATTGGCACATCTCATTCCATGGAGATTGTTTAGCCATGTACCTTCAGTCATGGTTCATCGACTTTGAATATTTGCATAATTTACATGTTTAAGTATTGCTATTTTAATTTCAACATTTGCATTATCAAAATTACAAAAAGGCAAGAAATATCTCTGTGATAAAAGTTTATGTATAATATAGTTACAAATTTTTTCGAACTGTAATTGATTTGAAATTTATTTAAGATTGTAACAGTTTGGAAGTTTTTCTGTATGGTTATACATTTTACTGTGAGTGATACAACAGGGGCTACAACTGTATCAAGTATGAGGTTCTGAAAGAGTAGAGTATAAAGAAGAAAAAATGCAGAATAAAGGGGAAAAAAAATAAAGAATAGAGAATAATGTGGTGCTAAGGAATAAAGATTAGAGAATAATAGGCAAAAAAATATAAAGAATACATAGATATGACCTAAATAATTAATAAGGGACCCCCATTCAGACCCTCAAGTATACTCATTTTCTCAGTTCTAATTTCTGAACAATACAATCTAAAAGTAATCATCTTATGTCATAACAACAAAATATTACCTCACATGAATGTAATGTTGGAACCAACTCTATGGTCTCATGGCAGCCTGCTCTGTCGACCTCATGCAAGTGTCGCAGTTTAATTTGTGAGTTCTATACATAACATATAAAATTATTAAGAATGTTAGAAATCAAGAATTCTGTTTGGAAGTATTTTAAACTATGTTATTTTGAAACTAGATTCAAACTCCCACAGTAACAGTGGACCCTAGATGTATAGGAGGATCCTGGGGGGCCCCGGGCCCCCCTTTTGTGGGAAAAATTTGGTTGATTATATAGGGAATCACTGAAGCATGACTGTAGCGGGCCCCCTATTATGGCAGTCAGTGGGCCCCCTTATAAAAAGTTTTGGATTCGCCACTGAGATGGTTCTGGCTATTATAGTTAAGTTAATCTTGGTCATTTACAATTAATTAAGCACATCATATGTATATATCCCAAGCTTTCAAATTTTGTCTTTGACCATTACTGATGAAGGTAGATCCAGAAAAGCTCCTAGGATTCCAAACACCTTTATAAAGTGTAATTTTTATTTCAAAAAATGCATTTAAGAATAAACACAAATTAGGGAGCAACCATTTAACTTCAGAAGGGGGGTGATGGTCATTTTGTCTTTCAGATATTTTTTCTTCAGTTTTTCGATGCTAGCTATCAATCAAATTATTTTTTTCAAAATTTAACACTATAATTAGGTAGGTGGAAAATCTGGATTCAGAATAATTTTTTTTTCATCCCCCCCCTCTTGAAGTTAAATGGTCATTCCCTTATGTTAACTACCAGGTAGTCTACCTAAACGGTCACTTATACACATAACAGGATGCTAAATTTGAACAATGAAACATTAAAATTTTTTATTAGAAAATAATCTTTAGACATTGATCAGTTTATAATCTTTGAGTGGGGATTATATCCTGGACAACTAATTATTCAAATCAAGGATTATTTTTGCTATAAAGAGGTTGCCAAGGTCATCTTGTTTAAAAGTTTAATGACTTAGCTAAAAAAAATATTGGTACAGATACTGATTAATCCTCTCAAAAAGTTATGAATAAAAACATAAAAGTGAATAAATATATGGTTTTTTTTTCTGATGCAGATTTTTTGCAATAAGTCATTGATCTTTAAAAATTGTACCTTGTGCTCAGAAATTTATAAGTGAATTGTTTAAGAGTTGAAAACTTATTTTTGTAATCAATATAAAGAAACATGCCTAAAGATGAATAATACAGAAATGAAAACTTCCACACACCCAGACCCTCATATAATGTGTAGCACTAAATTTTCCCCAAGCTAAGTAAGAAATTCATTTTTTTACAATAGATCAATAGGGAATTCCAAAGAGAACAAAGTAATATGATATATAACGAAGGACAACCTGACTATTGAACAAATTACAATAAAAAAAATTCTGAACATTTTTAACCTTGTAAAAATAAACTAATTGAAAATAGAACTGATACATATGATAGTTTGCCTTTTATTATCATGATTATGGTTATTATATTTTATAACGGAATTTGATAAGACTGTCGTACAAGTGAGAGGTTTAGCGCTATAAAACTAGGTTCAATCCACCATTTTCTACATTTGAAAATGCCTGTACCAAGTCAGGAATATGACAGTTGTTGTCCATTCGTTTGATGTGTTTTGTCATTTGATTTTGCCATGTGATTAGGGACTTTCCGATTGAATTTTCCTCGGAGTTCAGTATTTTTGTGATTTTACTTTTTTTTTTAAAAGCTGTTGATCAAATCCATTAATCCTGTTCTCACAATACATATGTAGGTGTATTACCACCATTGTTTTCCACAATTAGTCTTTGTTAAATTTGCACTTTTCAAAAAATTCTGCAGAATTTATCTTTGTTTCAAATAAAGAAATACTTGGCATGAGTCAAGATTTATCCCGTCCAGTACTACAGTCAAACTTTCACATAACTTTTCATTGCATATAAGATAATAACCATCACTGGAAGTTTATCAATAAAATTTTCATCCCTTATTTCCTGTGTACGTCATATATATCCGGTTGGATACGAAAAAAGGGTAAAAAAAATATTCCTTTGAATTTGACAGTCAGAAACTTTTGCTTGCATTTTTTATATCGATTTTTGAAGAATGGACAAAAATGTAGGATTTATTATTGTGAGTGATGGAAACAGTGCAGGCAGTGTTGTCTCGATATCCCAATAGGATGAGTTCGAATCCCGGCAAGGGAAGAACAAAAACTTGCTTCCCCAAATTTGCAGATTTAACATTGTTGTGCTGATATTTAGAGTAATTATGAATATAATATGTGTTTTCAGCCGTTTATCACCTTCACTGGTGATCCAATGGATGGATCTGTCGTAGAGTTGTCACTTGTTTAGACATACTTATATATATATATATATATAAAGAATAATAAATTATGCAGCATCGTCCTTTATATCTCTGTAATATTGGCCAATGGATGTTGCAAACTTCAACCACAAATTTTGTAATAAAATAAATAATCTTGAACTTCATCCAACTTTGAAGTATTTACAAGGCAGCAAAATTCATGTACAAAGAGCTACAAAAGTTTCTTATCTGCATCTGATTTCACCTGGATAGATGCAGGCTCAATGAAGCTAGTTTGTTTAGCGAAATATCATGTTTATTTTTTATTGCATTGTAAATATTTCATGTATTTTTAACATTTTAATATTTACATTCTAAATAGTGTGTTAAAATTATATTGTTAGGCAATTTATATATATATATTCAAGAGTCTATCCTAAATTGAGGTTAATTGTATGGCTTTCCAAATACCTTTTCGATTCCTAACATCACTGAAGAGACATTAATTATCGAAATCGGAAAATGGTGTACAAAAACCTTTGCGGTATACCATCTTTTCCGCGAGTTTATTGTTTACTGTTTAGTTTTAAATTTATAATTAAGATTCATTTATTACATCGGTGATCCGTTTATTTGGCAGTGGCCAATGGCAGTCAGCAGGGTTTAAGGAACATTTGTTGTTCGACCTGTTAGTCAAATGCGTTTTGTTAAAATATACTTTTTCACTTTTTTGGTCTTTTGGAAAATGTTGTTTGTGCTGTATTTAGACCCCTCTAACAAGAAATTTATTTTGCATGCACACGTATAAAAATTGCGGTTTTTATCCAACGCAATCATAGGTTTCAACTTTAGACTTGTATATATATATATATATATATTTTTATGTTCTTTTATTTCAGAGGAGAAGAAATGGACCGTCTGCTATGTGTGTTGTTCTGTGGTTGTTTATAGCTTTGTTTGTTCTACAGTTTGTAAACTATGATTGGAACATATTCAATTTCCATTTTTTCAGTGATGGAGAACCACACATGGAATTTGTAAGTTTATAGAATAATGTGCAAGGTCATGTGTATCTTGATATTGCAACACTGTTATTTCCATGTAGAATAATGGGAAAAAATATACAGAAATAAGGAATGTCGAATAATAGGGTGCTAAGATATAACAAATAGAGAATAAATGGACAAAAAAAATATAGAATAGAGAAATATGACCTAAAAATTTAAAGAAAAAGGAAAAGAAGGACCCCATCTAGACCTTCATAAAAGGAGATGCCTGTTTATTTTATTTCAGTCACTCCAACTCATGTCTGAAAGTTTTAGAAATTCTGGAAAACGATAAAAAAAAATGAAAAAACCTTGCATTATTCTTACCTGTAGCATAATTTTGTTGCAGAATGAATATGCCGTACATAGACATGGTAGAGATTACAATCTGGAGACTGCAGTGTAAACTATTTGTTTACAGCTAATTGATATTTCAGAGGGTAGAATACCTGAATGCTTTATACTTTCTGTACAGATATATGTCCATCATGTCCATTACACCCAAGGCCACCTCCTAAATCCTCCTCTGGACAGGGTTCACCTGACCCTAGTCACCCTATTGTAATTTAGTGTTAGATTTTAAGTTCACATTGCAAAATAAAAAGCAATATACATTTAATCTTACTGTCACATGTGTCAGAAAGAATAACAATTTAATTAGGGAAGAACATTTAACTTTGGGATTGATTGAGGGTTTATGCGGTTTTTTGTCGAGCCTGCGACTTTTGTCGCAGAAAGCTCGACATAGGGATAGTGATCCGGCGGCGGCGGCGGCGGCATTAGCTAACTTCTTAAAAGCTTTATATTTTAGAAGGTGGAAGGTCTGGATGCTTCATACTTTGTATATGGATGCCTCATGTTACGAAGTTTCCGTCAGTCACATGTCCAATGTCCTTGACCTCATTTTCATGGTTCAGTGACTACTTGAAAAAAAAGTTAAGATTTTTTGTAATGTTAGATTCTCTCTTATTATAAGTAATAGGATAACTATATTTGATATGTGCGTACCTTGCAAGGTCCTCATGCCAGTCAGACAGTTTTCACTTGACCTCGACCTCATTTCATGGATCAGTGAACAAGGTTAAGTTTTGGTGGTCAAGTCCATATCTCAGATACTATAAGCAATAGGTCTAGTATATTCGGTGTATGGAAGGACTGTAAGGTGTACATGTCCAACTGGCAGGTGTCATCTGACCTTGACCTCATTTTCATGGTTCAGTGGTTATAGTTAAGTTTTTGTGTTTTGGTCTGTTTTTCTTATACTGTATGCCATATAGGTCTACTATATTTGGTGTATGGAATGATTGTCAGGTGTACATGTCTAGTGGGCAGGTGTCATCTGACCTTGACCTCATTTTCATGGTTCAGTGGTCAAAGTTAAGTTTTTGAGTTTTGGTCTTTTTTTCTAATACTATGTGCAATAGTTCAACTATATTTGGTATGTGCGTACCTTGCAAGGTCCTCATGCCCGTCAGACAGTTTTCACTTGACCTTGACCTCATTTCATGGATCAATGAACAAGGTTAAGTTTTGTTGGTCAAGTCCATATCTCAGATACTATAAGCAATAGGTCTAGTATATTCGGTGTATGGAAGGACTGTAAGGTGTACATGTCCAACTGGCAGGTGTCATCTGACCTTGACCTCATTTTCATGGTTCAGTGGTTATAGTTAAGTTTTTGTGTTTTGGTCTGTTTTTCTTATACTGTATGCAATAGTTCAACTATATGTGGTGTATGGAAATATTTTATGATCTATTTGGCAGTCACGCAGGTTTTATTTGACCTTGACCTCATTTTCAAGGTTCATTGCTCAGTGTTAAGTTTTTGTGTTTTGGTCTGTTTTTCTTAAACTATAAGCAATAGGTCAACTCTATTTGTTGTATGGAAGAATTGTTAGCTGTACATGCCTGCCTAGCATGGTTCATCTGACCTTGACCTCATTTTCATGGTTCATTGGTCAATGTTTAGTTTACTTGGTTAATGTTAAGTTTATGTGACAGTTGTAATAAATCTTTATATTTAGGACTATCAACATAATATCAATGATTAGTAAAGAAGGCGAGACATTTCACATGTTTCAGCGTGTGCACTCTTGTTATAAACATTTTAATTTTGAACCATACATGTATCCAATTTTTATATTTTTTTTTGCTGTGCTAAGCAGGAAACATTTATTTTCTAATGGCAATACTCAATTACATTTTTTTCCCTCCCCCTACAGTTAAATGGCTGGTCCCTTAGGTTGATCTTTAATAAAAATAAATCAGTGGTATATTTTTTACTGTTTGTATTTTACAGAGGGGACCTATCAAACCATTTACAGACAAATATAACATAGGACCGCCTCCAGTGGCGAAGAATTTACCATATTCAACACTTAAACCACGCCCATGGGAAATGAAAGGCGATACAAGCAATGACTACATCCATCCACCGAGAGTAACAGAAGTTCATTTAAGAATAATGGTGATCACGTATAATAGAGCGGAGTCTATGCTTAGACTGTTAAATTCTTTGAACAAGGTAGATTACCTGGAGGATAGAGTTGTCCTTGAAATTTGGGTTGATAGGTCAAAGGATGGCGTTATAGATAAAAAGACTTTTGGCACTGCACGAAATTTTTCTTTTGAAAAAGGTTTTAAAACGGTTCACCAGCAGGATAAGCATGTTGGTATCTATGGGCAATGGATTGACACGTGGCAACCAACAGCAGATAGTAAAGAAATTGCTGTTATCTTTGAAGATGATATAACAGTGTCGCCATTTTTCTACCGTTATTTGAAAAATGTCCACGCTCGTTACGACCATCGACCAGAAGTGAATGGTTATTCATTGCAAGGTATCAGCATAAAACATGGCGGAGCTGGTGGAAATCTCCATGCACCCGATGATCATGTAGTCTTCTTGTATCCCATTGTTGGTTCCTGGGGATTTTCACCGAAGAAAGAGAATTGGATAGGATTTCAACGTTGGTTTGCAGAAGCACGTAAAAATACAAGCTTTCAGCCTTATGTTCCTGGAATTTTGCCAACAGGGTGGTACAAAACTTTTTTAAAACAAGGGAAGACAGATAGTATGTGGACTATGTGGCACATTTACTATGCATATAGTAAAAAAGAAAGGACACTTTATCCAAACTTCCCACATAATGCTGGTATGACGATAAATTGGAAGGAGAAAGGACTACATTTTGCAAAGACACTTAAAAATACAGATCCTTTAGTGATGGAGTGGGATCCTCGATTAGACAATCTTCCTGAGGAACCTATACATTTAGATGCAAATGGGAAGATTGTAAAATATTAAAAAAACATGCATATAAGAGGGTCTAGATACATGGGGTTTACAGAATAGAAATTAATGAGGGAAATAGATAATAAAGGGCCAAATATAAAGATTAAGAAAATCAGGCCAAAAAAAAATTATAAATAGAGAATAATGGGATGCTAAAAAATAGAAAGAATAGCGAATAAGATGGGGGAAAAGGGGAGGGAAGAAAAAAATGATCTTTGATTGTAATTTGAAAATAGATATACATTGTATTACATCATATCTGATTTTAGAGAACTATTAATCATATCTAATGTTAGAGTGTTATAGGTTTTCCACACTTTTTTCATCATGCTTGAAGATATTGATTGACCATTGGTATATAGTTTTATCATGACAAGTTACAGATCAAGTTCAAATTTTTGTTTCGGTCTGATAATTTTGTGCAGAGTTATGGTCCTTGGACTTGAAAAAATTCACTCTTATATTCAGTTTTCCACACTGTTTTTAGTCATGCTTGAAGATATTGACTTGATATTTTCTTTTTGTTTACACCATGACAAGTTATAGAACAAGTTAGCATTTTGTTCCAGTATAATGAATTTTTACCCGGTAGGGGACTATGTATTGCCATGCAATACTCTCAGAATGCTTGTTGTTATAAAAAAAATCATTGTTATGATAGTATGAAATTTAAAACTCTGCACGGGTCCATAATTGGTCAAATATATTCTATAAATATATGAAAATTATTGCAAGAAACTGCAGATATTTCTGTTTTTAATAGTTTAAACTTTCTTTAAAGATTTTTTTTAAATTAAACAAGAAATTATTTAGGAAATGTTTTTTTTCAAATGTGTTTTTTTCTGAAATAGATCAATTTTCAAGTGGTGAAAACATTTATTCAACAAAAGTATATTATTGTGCATGTACAGATCTGTCATTCATATAGAAAACTTGGACCATGTAAGATGGTCTGGATAGGCAAAAGATAAAGAAAAGAAAAAATGTTGTAAAATATTAAAGAATTTATAGAAATGACATCCAGACCCTCATGTAAGAATTTAAGGGGAAAGAGCGCTGATTTTTGTGATAAGTCATCTTGATGAATTAAACATTTTCTGTTATTTTTTTTTAAGTAAATCACATTGTTGTTATTGCATAATTGAGTGTGGATGGGGGGGGGGGGGGGTTACAGAATAGAGAATAATGGGCAAAAAGTATGAAGAATAGAGAAAAATTGCCTGAAAATGTTTTTTTTATAATCAATGTATGGTTTGTTTTATCTGAGTTCTTCATTGGTCATGTAAATAAGATGACTTCACCTAGAAAGAACACATGGTTTGTTATCATTGAAAAATAAAATTTGAATCGTCTACATATCGTGAAAAAATAAATTAGACCATCTAAACTAATCTCGTGCAATATGATGAGGATGTAGATGGGGGGTGTCCTTAATTTTGGTATTCTTTAATTTTTTTGCAATTTTTTTTTTCTCTCTATTTTTTTCCCAGTATTCTCTATTTTTTATATATTTAAGCCCCCATTATTCTCTATTAGTAATTTTTTATCCATTTTTCTCTGTATTCTTTATTTTTTTCTGTAAAACCCATCCAGACCCTCTTATGATATTTCGCCATCTCTCGACAACTTTTTTTTAAATTGAACTGTCTAGAGGGAAGAAATACCATATCACACTTGAATCTATGTATCACAACCTCAACTACAACAAACCTATACATCAATTTATCAAATAATATTATGGCTAATTAAGTTAACGAGGGGGCATTGAGTGTTACCCTCGTCCGTCCATACATCCCAAAATTGGTTACTGTTCTCTAACTTAAGTTTGCCTCAAACAAATGTTAGGAAACATAATACACAATGCTTATTACTACAAAACATAGATCAAGTATGAATTTGTCACTTTTACTGTTCTCCAGTTACATGTATGCCCCTTTATAACATTATATGCAAGCGGGGCATCATCTGTGTCCCATGGACACATTTTCCATTTATTATTCTCATGTATCTATAATGAAATCCAAAATTAATTACTACAGCACTTTTTTGTAACTATTTTTTGCTGTTTTTGTTGCATTTTATGTTTTTTGGGTTTTTTTTTAGTGACAGTGTTTGTTTGTTTATTGTCATGTTTTTTGCTTTGTTTTACTTATTATGAGAAATTTCTAATAAATGGTCAGTTTCTAGATTGACTAATGTTTTTTTCTGATCAAATATGACATCAAAGTCTCTTTTTTGTTTGCAATTTTACCTTTTCTTCAGATAAATCAGAATGTAAATAACAGTATTTGATATTTCCTATGCTTTGTTTTCACTTAAGTGCCAGTCTTTGTAAGAATCAGGCAATTTTGAAAAAAATCAAAACATGGTCGAAAAAACCCACCAACCTAACCATCCTATTTGAAAGTTATCCTCCTCCTGAGATAGAAATGTTAGGTCTTTCATTTCTGCGTGTCTGGTAATTCGAGAAATCTCTAGATAACTTTTGGTTAGAATAATAGCAAATTACGGAGTTAGCTCCCCTTAATTGTAAGTTTCTAGTGCATTTCAACCAAATTATATCTTGAATTACTAGAACAGGAAAAGGAAATGAATGTTATATTTGTGCACCATTGTACATTTTGAACATAAATCAATGTCAACTTGAGTGGGTTTTTGTTTGTCATGTTTTCGCCACTGCCTGATTCATTGGCACTTAAATATGGAGTTTTTAATATTCTATGCTTTTAAAGAGACAAACATTGTTTGTTTCAATGATTTGTCGAAATCTTTGCAGTATTATTTTATTCTAAAGTCATTGATGTTAGTGAACAGTTACCATGGTTACTGTATTTTGGGTAATGTTGGTGATTTGCAGAAGAAAAGGGTGAATTTAATTCTATCTAAGTTTAATTTTTACCTTTTTGAAAGTATTTTTATGATTATAAAATTATTATGATGTAAGGCATTTTTTATGATGGGCAATTTTGGCAATTTTTGTATTGTGAAAGTAGTGAAATAAGTCACTCTCTAATTAATCAGGGGCGGATTCAGGAGGGGGCGTGGTTGGCGTGCACCTCCCACCCCCCTTCCTAAAATTTGCAAAGCATGGGTTGTCCTCAGCCTAATAAAGAATATTTCGATAATTTTACCTCAAACAAAATTTTGCCTGGATCTGCTCGGCGAAAATTTAAGTTTGCGCCCCCTCCTAACCTAAAATCCTTGATCCGCCCCTGTTAATAATAAGGGAGTAATCATGGACAAATAGATAATTTTTTTCTTCAAAGTATTCTTGCCAGCATATTGTGCCATTAAATTGTGGAATATATATATGTTATAACGTGAGGGTGTGGATGGGGTTTACAAAATAGAGAATAATGGGCAAAAAGTATAAAGAATTGAGAAAATGGTCTATAAAATTAAAAAATACAGAAATGAAGGACTCCCCATCCAGACCCTCTTATATTGTGGGTCTTTTAAGTTTGCAAGGCTTTACATTTCTTATAGAACAAATTTATTGCACAGAGATTTTAATGGAGACTTATTCATTTAAAGTTGTGAGTAGGTGATGGTTTCATGTATGGTAAATGACAATGTTTTTACTGCAACTTAATATGTGGTTATTTTGATATTGTGGATCTGAGCATGTTTTTATTTGATTCTTTTTTCCATTATTTTGTCATTTCTTTCTTACTTATCATTGTTAATTGATGATTTTAATTGTGTTTGATATATATTTATTTTGTTATGAATGATTAGTATTATATTCTCAGCAATTTGTGCCGTAATTGGCTTATTAAAATCAATCAATCAAAACACTGGATGTGGTGTTTCGAGCATAGATTTTGTACTGTGAGTACTGAGTAAAGTTTTATGACCGTGGGGCCCTGAAATTGTTTATTATGCATGTCTATATCATAAGTTACTTTATCTTAACTCATTTCTATTATTGTTTATAGCTATATGTTGAATATTCTGTAGATTCATTTATTTTTTGGGTTACCAATTTTTATGATTATCAGGAAAAATTGTTTTTTTCTGGAAAACTTTTGTTCATGGTTTTCAAAGTTCTGCATAGATATCTATAGAATATTTGTATTTCATTGAACATTTGGATTCTTGGTTTAGCTATACCCATGAAATCCACAAAAATGGTATCCCATGAATAATAATGGAATCACAGTATGCTAACTTTTGATATTATGCTGCAATCAGGTTACAACAAGTTTTAAAATACCATTGAACATTCATTATCTGATCATAGTGCAGTTGTATTTTTGGCAAAAGGATAGAAAGTCACATGATATAAAGTCATAGGACATAAAGTTGCAAATTGAATGGACAAAAAGTCTCACAACCAAAAGTCACAAATAAATAATAAATTATAATTTACAATTAGGTGAATATGAAGGGAAAATATTCTTGAAATAATGTCTTGTCAAAGAAAAATCATTGTACAGTGTAGGAAATTGTTCATTTGCATAATCAAATAAATAATTATGAAACTTTAATCATATATGTACAAAGTTTGGATTACTAGGCCTCATGAACTTAAAATTTCTGTCCTATGGTCATTTTTAATTAACCCCTTGTCCCTTAGGATGGGGTGTACATCATAGAAAATAGTGGGCCAATATCACAGAAAAATGGGGCCAAATAAATATAAAGAATAGAAAAATTTGGCAAAAAAGATATTACAAATTGACCATAAAAATAAAGAATAGATAATAATGGTCTGCTAAAATGTAAAAAAAATAAAACAAATAATAGGCACAATAAATTAGAAATTGCCTACAAAATTATAGAATACAAAAATGAAAAATCCCCTATAAAGACCCTCAGATAACATGACAATTTCATAAATAACATTGTAATAAGATACAGACATAAGCTTTTACTTTGTTTTTATTGTTCTTCACACAAGACCAGCAACACTGATTATTTTATATCACCTTTTGAAATGTACTGAAAAGACGATATTTACTGAAACTTTATTTTTTATAGTGTTTATACAAGTTTGTGTCCATGGCTGTTTAGAGATTTTGTGGTCTTTTTGATACAGATGCTTTTAATTAAATGCTTTATTTATAAGGTTACACTGTCCCAGGTTAGGAAGGGGGTTGGGGCTTGGAAACATGATTAACCCGCCACATTCTGTATGTGCATGTACCAAATCAGGAGCCTGTAATTCAGTGGATGTTGTTTGTTGCCGAATATCATATTTATTTTCCGTTAATTGTTTTGAACAGAAATCAGGCTATTAGTTTTCTGGTTTTACATTTGTCATTAAGAGGCCTTTTAATGCTTTCTATGCTATGTTGGCCATGGTTTGGTCATTGTTGAAGGCCGTATCTTGACCTATAGTTGTTAACTTTTGCATCATTTTGTCTCTGGTGGAGAGTTGTCTCATTGGCATATTGTGTATAGCTTTATCTGTTTTTCATTTTTTTTTTACAAAATGTTTGTTCTGTTTTTGTACGCCCATTTACGGGACGTATTATGGTGGTATACCATCCGTCTTCAACATGTCGGACAATAACTCAAAAATGCTTTAACCAATTTTCATGAAACTTTTGTGAATTGTTTATAACTATTAACGTAAGCTCCCTTTCAACTTTTGAAATTTTTAGATTACGTTTCAGAGTTATGGGATGAAAAAGTGGAGATTTTCCAGTTTACGGACAATAGCTCAAAAATGCTTAAAAATTCATAAAACTTTTGATGACTTGTTTTATATATATAAGGGATGTCAACGAGTACTCGAGTACTCGAGTATCGCTTGGTAGTACCAAGTATTGAATACCAAAATGATACTCGACTAATCGGTTTCCTGTTGGAATTTTGTTGCCTTCTTAAAGAAATAATATTTTTATTAAGAGCAACTCCCGGGAAATTAAATATTAGTCAAAATTAAAATATGTTTTGAATGTTTGCGTTTAATTGTCATTTAAAATTCCTCCGAACATAGGAAGGCTATGAACAATAGCACCTTTCCAAGGCTTACACTTTTAGTTTATCGTGTCTTAGTCATTCCATCACCTCTGTACCGTCAGAACAAATATTTTCATCAGCAGGACTGTTAGTTGTGTAACAAAGCTGAGAAATGGACTTGTCACAGAAAAAGCTGACAAGATAATATTTCTAAATAAGAAGAAATTCATTGACCCTGTGTCTACCCTCGGGTTAAAGGCATCAGTAAGTTCTAATCATCACCCCTTTGGTGATCATTAAATGTGTTTTTTTACGATTCCCAAATACTATTGTTTGAGTAATCATTTTTCTATAGATGTTTATTAATTAGTTGATTAGATCATTGCCAGTTTACATAATTAGTATATGTAGTAAATGAGCTATTTATTATGATATAAAATTCCTGGGACTATTATCTAGTCCTTGGTAATAATGTTGAGGGTTTTATGTCCATAAGACAACGTCCCACAATACGTAAAATGGGTATAATTTTGTATTTACATTTTGTAGATGTTTTTCCGAGCGAGTACTCGAGTATCGCTAGCTAAATCCTACGAGTACTCGATTAGTAAATCTTCACCGAGTTGACATCACTAATATATATATATCTATCAAAATAAGCTCCCTCTAGTTTTTTTATAAATTTCTGATATGACATTGAGGAGTTGTGAACCTTTATTTGTTGAAAAAGCGATGGGCATATCATGCACTGATGGCGCAGCTCTTTATTAGAATAATCATCTTTGGGCTATGATCAGGCCCCCCTGAATCTGCCCCTGACTGGTAATATTCCAAGGTGTAAACTTGGTGAATTAATTTGTGACTATTTGTTTTAATGCAGTGCTTATACATGTATTTTTGTTATTATATTTTTCTGTTTTTTTAAAGGAAAAATGAAATCATTCATCAGAAAACTTACAAATCAGAACATGTTTAATTGTGTATTTATTGGTTGTTAAATCAAAATATTTCATATTTTCAAACTACGTAAGTTTTATTGTGGAAATTGTCCATTGTTTTCATCCATCAGAAAATCCAACTTGTAATACAACCTTTATTATGTTTATGTAACCAAATATTTGTTTTCTATTTATATATTTAACATTTTTTCATTTTCTTGCATAATAATATATACTTGATATTTCTTAATTGAAAAGTCAAAGCTGAACAGAGCTTTAAATATGTATAAGACCCATTGGTGGCCTTGGGCTGTTTTCTGCTCTTTGGTCGGGTTGTTGTCTCTTTGACACATTCCCTGTTTCCATTCTCAATTTTATACTTCCATTAAAAAATTTCCAACAATGTTAGATCTGCAATGTAGGATTAGAACTCATGTACTGTGAGACCATGACAACTTTGTCTTTACTGGGTCCTGCACCCTGTAACATATTTTTATTACTCAATCAGATTAAAAAACAGATCCTGTGTCCATGCTTTGTTTCCGAGGATCTGAGACGGATCTGTTCTACTTTCTGTCTTACCTAAGATCTTACAGGATCCTCTGATTTTGTTGTGATATACACCTTCAACAATTTGTAGGGAGGAATTTCATTGGCTGATGTAATAATTACCAGAACAGAAAGTAGAATGGAATGTTGGTAGATCCTTATAAGCAAAGCGTTGACACAGAATCTGAATTTTAATCAGATTGATTTATTTTTAAGCTTAGAATAAATTTGTAAAGAAACACAGTATTGAAGGTCAAATTTTCTAATCAGTGAGATTATAATCATATTTTGTACTTCAGCATGATATGTTCACATGAGATTAGAGTTTTCTGCATATTATGATTATATATTGTTACTTTGTTTTAAACAAAGTTTAATAAAAGATATTTTATATCGCACTAGTTGTAGCTTTCTAATGCCTAAAATATTTTAAATTATCATGAATGGCAATTATTACAAATGTCCTTTATTTCATACAAGATTAGCTTTACTTTACTATATTATAATCAACAGGGTTTCTTTCAAATAAGTGCCAGTTTAGAACAGCCCTCCAAGAAATAATATGAATAAATAAATAATATATTTTCCAGAAAATTTTAATTCTTCCTACTTGGTAATGATCTGATTATCCACATGAGGATCTGAATAAAAGAATAGGGAATAATGGGCCTAATCTACAGAAAAATGGGCAAACAAAAAAGAATAGAAAAAAAAAGAGACAAAAAAAAAAAGAAAAGAAAAGAAAATAATCGGTGCCAAAATATATAGAATAGAGTAAAATGAGCAAAAAATATAAAGAAAATGAAGGAACCACCATCTAGAACCTCCTACATCCTTACAGCATTTCATTATCAAGATATGAGACAAATAAAACCGAATAATTCAGTCCCTCCCCATAATGTCAGTCAGCTAGTGGGATGTCAAACTTTTCAACAAGTTTCTTCAACTCAACAACCATTGAAACATCTAACATGTTTGAAAGCCTAGGTAATCAACAGAAAAGCTTCGGCTGCATAGTTAGTCTAGGTGCACCAGTCCACCATCACATGAAAGTATATGTAACAAGTAGACCCCAAACAGAAATAAAAGCCTTTAAAGATCTTAAACAAAAATTTCCAGTCAATAAAAAATAAGAAACCAGATCACCTAGAAATTACTGATACTGTAAAACCAGATATTTTAATGGGCACTGAAACTTGGCTAGATTCAGATACATCATCATATGACTATTTCCCATCTGAACTCTATAATATATATAGAAATGACAGACCACCTAACAAAATCGAGCAAAGCCACGGTGGAATTCTCATAGCAATAACTAAAGACTTTGTAAACTCTGAAAAAAAAGAATTAAAAACTAATTGTGAAATAGTATAGGCAGAAATCAATATCACCGGTTCTAGAAACTTACAACTAGCATCATTCTATAGACCACCTTCTGACAATGGCATAGCATTAGAACAACTACAATTGTAAATTAAAAACCAGAGAACAATTGAAGGTCTTTCCACTTCTAAAGATTTATTTTGATATGAAAATATAAAAATTCGGTTTAAAATGTCATTACCAGTGTCAAATGATAGCTTGTTGTTTGCTGATTCCAAAAATATATGGTTTCTATACAATTTTGTTTGAAATAACGGAGGTAATTTGATACTTCCGGTCTGAAAAATGTCATTTCCGGTATTATTTGATAGTTTATTTGAAACTGCTTTCAAAAATATATTGTTCTATATACTTTTACATGAAATAAGTACAAAAAATAGCCACTTCCGGTTTACACAAGGTCACTGATGTTTGCTTTTTCAAAGTCATACGGCTTGTAACCTAATGCACAAAGTCCTATGGCTTTATGATTTATAAATATGAATTTAAAGCAAAGTTCAAAAATCTAGAACGTCAAATTTACCTATGACCTTGACCTCAATTTCAAGGTCATAAACCAAGGACCTCAAATCAAAAGACACTAGGTCTTTATTATATATGGTTAATGAGTTATATCGTTGTACATGTAATTCTAAATATAATGGGGAGAAAACTCCCATTTAATGTCAGCGTACCCTTATAACCAAAATGTATGTGTTACGACATGTCGCAACTCACAATTTAGTAAAAATATGTTGTCAATATCTTATATGGTTTTTGAAAAGAAGTGAAAATAAGCCAAAATCAAAATTTAGAATATGACCTTGACCATTAACCTTGACCTAATTTTGGTTTTTTTTTTTTTGGACCAAGGACCTCAAATCAAAAGACCCTAGGTCTCTATCACTTAAGGTTTAACAGTTAGAAATGCATATCACTTATATCAAATGCATAAGGGGAAATAACTCTCATATGGAGTCTCCGGATAGCTTCGGTCCAAATGGTCATCCTAATCCTGAAGATGAAACGAGCAATTTGGTAAAATAAATTTGTCGCTTTCTTTTTTACGGTTACGGAGGAGATCTCAGAACAATGAAAAGTTAAAATTTAGAACATGACCTTGACCTTTGACCTTGACCGCAAATTTATTTTTATGAACCCAGGACCTCAAATACACGTACCTTAGGTCTGTATTACTTACCATTCTTGTGATACATTGACATATCACTCATGTCAAATTCAAAAGGGGAAATAACTGTCATATGGAGTCTACAAATTGATTCGGTTAAAATTTGGCAAATCAACGAGCAATTTAGTAAAATAAATGTGTTCCTTTCTTTTACGGTTACGGAGGAGATCTCACCACAAAGAAAACAGTGTTTGGGGAGATAACTCTTACAATAAAAAGTCTTCGACTAAACAGGATCAGTCTCAAAAGCGCAATAACTGTTCGATATCATATGCAAAAAATCTAAGAGACATCTTGCGAAACTACAAAACAAGTTTTGAAATTTGGCAGAAGAAGAAAAAAAATTAATCAGAACAAATACAATAGGTCTTTCCACAAAATAGTGGAAAGACCTAATAAACAGAATAAATAAACAAACAAACTCAACAGTTATTATAGGCAGTGACTTTAATCTAGGTCATATAAATTGGTCGAACAACTTTTTCATCTCGGAGTCGGGGAAACCTGACCAACACCAACATTATATGCTTCTTGGCTTGATAAATGATTCAAAGTTACATCAATTAGTAGACATTCCAACTAGAAAAGATCTATACTCGACCTAATTTTGACAAGCAACTCTAATTACATAAACAAAATAAGCACTCTTCCACTTATTAGTCTTAGTGACCACGATATTGTCTTTGCCGAGGCAGATATCTGGCTTAACGGGGTAAGAGAAACACCACGTAAAGTTTTGAAATATAACAAGGCAAACTGGAATAACATAAAATCAGAGTTAGAAAAAATCCATTCAGACATACTTAACATCTATAAACCATCAGGCGTAAATACTTTATGGGAGCTTTTAAAAACAAGACTTAAAAACACAATCCAAGCAAACATTCCATCAAAATGCTAACATACAAGCATAGACTACCCTGGATAACTAATTCACTTATCCTATAATTTTGTCTTTATCTGATAGTTTGTAATTCAAACACACCTACTTTGTTATGATGACTTATTACAAATTTAAGGTATTTCATTTTGGTCCATATTTTAGTTTTTTAAATAATGTGCATCTCTAATGTTAGAAATAGAGAAAATGCCTCAAAGTATTTTGTTTTATATCTGAACATGATTTGGTTTCCTTTTCAGTTACTATGATGGTCAGTTGAAAGTCATGACTATGGCTTAATGCACCAAAACATGCAGCAAAATCACAGAGAAGACCTCCGTATAAGATTTGTGCGAAGCCACTGACACCTAAAATTCCGTCAAATTTCTTCACCAGTTTCCTCTACAAAGCACATGTGCACGCCATAAAGGGGACTTACTCCGAAATGAATTCATTGACTCACTTAAGCAATACTCATCAGCATCTATATTTATACATGAAAATTAAGCTTCAAGAAGACCTTATGACTTATGAAATGACACTTCAATTTTAAACGATTTCAAAACTGCATTTAAAAATCTAGAAGAACATAATCTGGCTATTGATTTTCTTTTATTCATCCAAATGGTAAAAAAAAACAAATTTCATTAGACAATATTTCCGAGTATTATTCATTTCCTGGAGACAGTCAGATTTATGTCTAAGAGAATAACATCTGAAATGAGGTATTGGAAATTACACTAAGGTTTTGAAAAACTGGTTAAAGACTTTTTTTTATCGTTTCGGAGTAAGTCCTTTCTGCGGCGTGGGCATTTAAACTTAGTTGGGTGGTATGGTTTCCATGTACTTACCTGTTATAACAGATGTGATAGACGTGCACAACAGCGGTATTACGGCTTTGGTTGTTATGGTACACACAAAAATAACCAATACGCATATATGCATTTCCTATATGTGACTAAACATCAGAGAGAGCAACCAAAGATAGAAATAAACAGAAGACAATTAGAGGCCACCATACTTCTTCTACAATAGATCTAGACAAGAATGAGACAGCAACCAAACAAACAAAAACAATAAGTTGTCTGCATGTCCAGTTTTGTACTTCTACTAGGGGGTGTTTAACGACCTTGACTACCCATGAGGGCCTCGCACGGTCGGCCCTGGCTTACGCCTTTTTGGGGCATTTTAATAAAAAAAAAATACCTTATGGTAATAAGTATAATTTTGAGAGACAAATACATAACATAAATTATGTAAAAACATGAATAAAAAGTAAAATGAACAGTAATTTGATAAAAAAAAATGAATAAATGATTTGATGAATAATAATTGATAGTTTAATGAGTAAAGTAAAAATAAATAGAACTTAAATAGATAAAAAAAAAAAAGCAAGAAATAAAAATGGTATCACCAAAATCCGGAACAGGAGAAAAGGCCAAACAAGCGGCAAAGCGGCAGCAAGTAAAGAGTGGTGAATTTTGATATGCCAAATTGTGTATGTGAATTTAGTTGCCAAATATGTTGTATAAAACCAAATAGGCCTAGATACGTGTGTGTGAATTTAGGAAAAATAATTGGAAGAAAGTTTTATATGTACATAAAAAAAGATTAGTATATGAAATAAAATAATATATATATAAAGCAGAAACCACAGGGTCTATATATAATTTTGACTGCTTTGTACCAAACCAGATCTTACGAAGTACCAGTCTTAGTTTAAGTCTTTGATTTGACATGCGGCTTAGAAATTGAAAAATAAATCACAAAAGGTTCAGAAAGGTAGTCACAAAAATAATTTTGGTGCCGCTAATTTTGATAAATAGCCAAAGATTAGCGCGATGTATTGTTTAGTTAGCATAATTAGGTCTTTCCACTTTTCTGTGGAAAGACCTATTGTATTTGTTCTGATTATTATTATTTTCTTCCGCCAAATTTTGTTCTCGCGTAACATTTTTGTTTCC